CCGCACCACGCGGGGCTCAAACCCAGGACCTACCGGCTTCGCGCGCGAGCACTTAACCACTAGACCACTGAGCCGGCATCCAACGGTGTTAATGTCTAACTTCAACCAATCCACGAAGTTGCGCCACCGTACACCGTTGTCTTCAGTGAGTTCTTATCTCACAACAGACCTGGTTAAGTCCTCGCGCGCGAAGCCAGTAGGTCCTGGGTTCGAGCCCCGCGTGGTGCGGGATCGTGGATGCGCACTGCTGAAGAGTCTCATACTAGGACGAAACGGCCGTCCAGTGCTTCCAGGTTTTCCATGGTGGTCTAGCTTCAATCGACTCATGATTTCAACCTGTGAAATTTCTAAAACTCTCCACAAAACCCATTCTGAAAAACAAGATCAAAGTGATAGGAAGACAGAAACGTCATTAACTAGATCTTGGTTGGTTACAGAAAGATTATAGGTATAAAAAATACCTATTTAAACTATTTAAACTAAAGCTGATCAATGGAATCTCTATAGATTTCACTACATGTAGGATATGAGTTTAAAAGATAAATATATGTGATGGAATACAGTTAGTCAACATGAATTCTTTTATTCCGTTTATTGTTACTTATTACTTATGATAAGAAGGGAATTTATCATATTCTTTGTGAACGTCAAATAAAGGTGCTGATTAATTTATTTGACTGAGTGGCTAAGAAGTACCTTTGTTCTAATTATCTTAATTGAACAAGCCGAATTATATGTAGAAAATTACATTGTGTCAATTTATCATTGTCATGTATTTTATGTTGCTTCATGAAATAATCTACCGTCGTTATTCATGAATAAGTTAATTTCTCACATGTTATCACACAATGTAACATGAATAGAATCACTTGTAATTTTTATTCAAAATAAAATCATTTCAGTAGTATGAATCTTTTTTTATTCATGGGTGAATTATGAATCATAGAAACAAAGTTACAAATTATCAGATTCAAAGTGTAGAGTTTAGTTCAGAGCATTCAAAAAAAAAATCTTAAAAATTTGACAAAATGATTTAGGAATTTCTGATTAATACCTTGAAGTACATTATAATGCATATTGTTTACTAATGTACAAATAAACACACGATAAATAAGATTGATTTACCTGTTGTATAAATGCATAGTGATTTAAGAGTCACTGTCAATCAAAACTTGAAGGCCGATTCATTATGCCATACAGTCAATTATAAAAGTTATTCATTTAATACGTAGACCTTTCAGGCACAGAGACATTCATGACTTTGTATACAGTGTTCAACCAATTAAAACTTAAATAATGTGTACAACCAGTTAGCCTCTATTTCAAAAAAGATAGAAAACTGTTTGGAAAGTTTCAGGGAACTTCGACTAAGTTGAATACTGGGATCTTAAAGCTTTCTTAAGATAAGCAATCGGATAAAATAAATCTGTCACCATTTTTATATACCAGGACTAAAGCTAACTTAATCCACCTTCAAATTAACAATAATCATTTTGCATCACGCAAACTCTCATTTCTCTTCTCTTTCAGAAAAGTGAATTTACAAGCTGAACTGAGAGACCTGAATTCTTTAGACTAACACAAATCTTTCAGCTTCATATCCTCAAGCTCTAACTAATGTTAGCCTCATCAATTTACGGGCTTTTCTAAAGAGCACATATTCTATCGCTAATTTATTTACCACAAAAGTCAAGCTACATATCTACAATAGGTATATTTGCTCTTTGATTGTTCACAAGGAAAACGAGAAACACATAAAATCGAATTCCAGCGTCAAATTTATTATTCACAGAAATATATATAACAGGTCAAAATTGTTTGTGGATAAAGACGAATGATAGATGACAATCGTTGAAAATTATTAACTACTTACAGGTTTAGTCTGTGTAAGACAAAAATTTGTAGCAACATCGCATGTTTTGCACTGAGAACTCATTGCTGTGATCGAACACATAGTGTTTATTATGATCATTATCATGGTTGCTGGTGAATTTAGTTACACCTTATTTTTCTCACCTGAGACTATTTTATAAGTATACCTATGTGTGACCTAGTATTCAGCATTTATGATTTAAACATATCATTTATTATCGGTATAGGGGTTGTGGAGATTATTAAGTTTTTGATTGAGATCATGTACCGATTGATGTTAGACTACCATTGAAAACCTGGAAGTACTGGACAGCCGTTTCGTCCTATTGTGGGACTCATCAGCAGTGCGCATCAACGATCTCGCTCGCGGAACTCGAACCCAGAGCCTTCGGTCTCGCGCGCGAACGCTTGACCTACTAGACCACTCAGCCATTTATTACCTAAAATACAACAGAATTATGAAGGAAGCTACTATGAGGTGATAATCATTTATGTTTCAATAATTACTAGATGTTCTTATGGTTTGAAACTTCTTATAGTTGTAGAAGCAGTGGCAATGAACTGTGAACTGATTTCATGAATGCTTCAGAATGGTCTGTCACCTTGCTTACGATAAAATAGTGAATAGCATTTGAATCTCGAATATATATATAATGTATTGTTATTCACTTACCATCCAGAATAATAACATATAAATAACTTAGCTGGCTTAGTTGATAAAAACAGCTAGTCTCTTTGATAAATTTCGATAATGCAATGAGAGGACGAAGGTTATCAGAATTATGTGATATATTTGCGAAATACCTTTCAAACGATCTGATCACACATATACTTGTCAAGACATTTTTATATGAAAAATAGAAGGTCAACTGGACAGGTCAAAGGTAAGCCGTAACAAAGAAAAATAAAGTACAGAAGACCAATGTGATAACCGCTTCGGATACACATAAACGGGGTTTTAATTTCCGTATACCCAAGGCTTCAATAAACCTTGGTATACATCCATGAAGGCTTTTGTACAAAACTACAAAGGCTGACTTGATATCAACCTTATGACCAGTCTCAACCAAATATTTAGCAATGAAGAGAGATATCTGTTTATCCTGTAGTCTTATTTGACCATGAGAATTCATTTGTTTCTGTAGCTATTTGGGTATATGTTCTACCACCTTTAATTGTAGATTGCAATTGCTCCTCTCTATGTATGTGCTTCCACATATACATGTTGATTAAGATACATTGGGGGATGCTGGTTATTTCCATTATTCAATGATGTTTAGTCCAACAATTTTAAGGGAAACAATATACATGAAAAATTTCTACTTTTTATTACTTTCCTTACAATATCATACCAGAAATGTATCACATGAAATGAATTCAATTTTACTGTTGCTTAAAGTACAATAATAAATGATGAAGCTCTAGAACATGGAAATAAATGTGCAAATTTAACTTAAAACTTTTTTCAGAATATAATTGATTATAGATGGTTAGCATGAAGGAAGACGAAAATTAATCACACTATTTTTCCATTGAAGTAAATTCAGCTCAAAACTTGATACATTTCAGAACCTATATTCATTGCATAATTAGAAGCCATAGTTATTTGTAGAAAAAGTTTGTTAAGTTCTTCTCCTTATCACCATCACCCTCCCTGAAAAAGATCTCGCTTTTACGTTTATGAGAATGATATTTCGCTTAGTTCATCATACAATCAAACATGTTCCTACTTATCATTCTTTATTATAATTTACATTACATGTCTATAACTACTTAATTCCAAAACAAGTAGTAAGTCTTCAGATCATTTATCATTTTTACAAATTTACAGTTTGTTTATAAACTTACAACTTAATGCATCTTTAAATATGATTGTATAGCATTGGAAATTGAATTGATAATTGAACTGTCTTAATTTTATAAATTGTTTTCTATTTAATACATAAATTTCTGCTTTTTTTGAAAATAAAATCTAGAACATTCAATAGCATTTATACGAATATTCGTCAAGATTAGAACCAATAGTTTGACAGTAATTGAGCGCTGAGTATGGAGAAGTCAATATATATGAAAATTATATTTGAAATATTCTCAGCGATTGAAATTTAACTAATTCCAACGTTTCGTCCAGACAAGTTAGCTGGACGAAACGTTGGAATTAGTTAAATTTCAATCGCTGAGAATATTTCAAATATAATTTTTACATATAATGATTCAATAGCATTATTTCATAAAATTCAGTGTGAATAGATGCACAAGAAAACTATGCGAATCCCTGAAATATCTGTTCCGTTCTGACAGATATTTTAAGTGAATCTATCTTTTTAGGTTTATTCTGATCACCTAAAATATAGCAGTCAGTTTTTCAGTAAATTGTTTCCTGATGAGTTCCCGAAGTTTTAGTTCGAAGTTATGATTGGTGGAATTCAAGCAACAGAAAAAAACACCACCAATCGCGTTGGGTGGTCGGTACTCCATATTCCAAATTAAAGTTATAAACGTGCAGTGCTCAGTTGACACTTGATGGTTCTAGTAAATAAGAACTTAGTGAGAAAGGTCCTGGTGTGATCGTGAGTGTACAATTCTGAGGATTTCCAAACTAGGACGAAACAGCATTGAGGTGTTTCTCGGTTTAAATGGTACCCAAACTAAGATCAATCCATGATGAATACCTTCTGAGTATATATATTTCCTGTAGAATTTTTTTTGTTTTTCATGTTTTAGTAAACAGTCCCTAAAACATCCTAATGCATTTATGATAACATTCAAGGATTTTTAAGATATGTATACCATAACAATCGACAAATCCACAAATTTGATATTTTATTTACCTTCTCTCATCTGCAATATAGCTCACTTTTGAGAACTGATAGGATGCGGCAAAGTAAGCCTGTAAATGACGATAACGACTAAAGACAACAATTTGATAAATTAGATATTTTTTATATTCCGTATAGTCTGATAGTAGGGAAAGGAATGAAAAGTTTAAATGTGGCTTATTAACTACTTAATAGTAATTAATGCTCTTTAGAAGTAAATTACTTTACTCGTTCCACATATTCACAAACAAATTATGTTAAAAATGAAGGTATATAGGTATACTGCATTATATTTTCTTTTTTTTTCTATAAGAAACAAGAAGACAATACTGATGCAATAATCAATTTTTTTAAAACAAAAAGACAAAATATAGTGACGGAAACAGCAATGATGTCTACCTATTTATCAACGCTAGTTTATAGTTTTAGTGTATTACTTATAGTAAGGATAGAATACGTTCTATTATGAAAATGATATCCATACTAAACAATAAGTAACATAAATAATAATATTAAAAATGTGTATAAATCCATTGATAACAGTTGGGAAAGAAAATGTTCAAGCTTCAAATTGAAAGAAGGGTTGAAATTATTATTAGTATTATTACTATTATTATGGACACCGAGGGAGGGATTTATACATTTTGAACTGCTGGAAAATAAAGGAATATAAGACATACATAATGCATAGTGATTGAATTATGGTTATTGTTACAACTATCTATTTAGATAATATGCATACTGATGAGTTTTCTGAATTAATTTATGAGGTAGACACTTGCCGCCTCCTTTCAACTGGAAAGATTGGTATTTCATTTATCATGATAATGAATTTCTAAGTTAGTCTTATGTAAGTGATCTAAATTACGAAATGATTCAGTAGACGATAATGACGCAGACGGTGATTCATTACGTGTTGTTATTTCACTACTAGTAATTGTAATAGTAGTTGTAGGAATATTGCCATTGACGTCGTTATTTTGCGAATTGATAGAACTACGGTTAGTATAAGGAATAGCAAGAAGTTTATCATTATTATTAATACTATTTTTACTATCTGTAATACTGACTACATCCATGCTTGGTTTACATATATTGTCAGATTGGACATGTTTAATAGTAACTGATTGTTTAAATTTTGGCGACGTTAAAACGCGTATATTTGAAGAAAATATTAATGATCCATTCGGTTTGCTACAAATTTGACCATTGCTATTATCATTATTATTATTATCATTATTGTTATTATTATTATTATTACTATTATTACTAGTCGAGTCTATATTATGATCACAACCATTTGTTGTTTCGAAACTATTCATCGAAGTATAATTAGACGAATTGAAAAATCTATCTTCTGAAGATATTAACTTGTTTGTATATAAATAAGTATTCCCAGTGAAATTACGATTCTTATTTGAGACAATTGGAGAGGCAGATCTTGTTTGTGATAATAATACAGAATTATTCGGTTTATCTTTTATTGAATATTCTTTTGAATTTTTGAAGTTCTTATTATCAATAGAAGAATTGAGATTTGATGATTCACTAAAAGCTGATTGGAAATTTTTAATAGTTGTGACCAGATGATCTGATAAACGATTTGGAAAATAGGGAAGATTATCGTCGGAAAATGCACGATTTAATAAAAGTTGATGTGAACCGCGAAGCAAACGATTACGGTATCTGTAATTTTTTTCAAAAAGAAAGGAACATTTACCACTGAAATTTGTTGAAAATAAATCATTAAATAATTTAGTTATTGAGTAGAAATAAATCATCACTTTCTTCTAGTCCATATTGATTAAGTTGACTACCTACAGAATATATAAGTCTAAACCTATGTAACTGAAGAGTTTTACTACAATATTTAGAGAATAATCTAATCGAGAAAATAGAACAAACAATCTCCATGTGGATGTTCTACTGAATAGTAAATATTAGTAAAAATGTAGCCATAAAAACTAATGAATGATAGTTTAAACATGTCGAGATTTGTATTAACAGATTGTTAACTAGTTACAACTGGTAACAACAAAAATGTCCTTAGTTCAAATCTATCGTACTTCGTAATAGTGTGAATAATATAAACCATAAATGTACAGCTGTCATTAAAACTATTTTTGTGAAATGATTATTATTTATGCTAGTTCATAATATAAATGTTTCAGCACTAAGTTCTATAAACATCATGTTTACTGTACTAGTAATCTAAGGGTTGTTCATGACAATACGAAGTCATGGGCTTACACTAATAATTATTCCCCATACTAAAACAAGAGATAACTAACTACTTTATTCAGTTGTATCTGAAATGATATCATAGTTTGTGACTTAAAGTATCATTTAGAACTACTTGACTGCTGAGTAGTGATCAATGCAATATTTGTCTAGTTTGTTAGTTTGGGTCGAGTTCCATCGACCAAGTTGAGATATGGGCATCAATTTGGGTCAATATCCTGTATACGATGTTGAAATATCACGTGGTTGGAGGTGACAATAAGAAATCTTAAATTCAATTTTTGTGCTAATCGCCACACCACAGTACGGTGTATATGCAACCTTGACAAAACTGATGCTCACAATAGAATTCAAACTTGAGTTATCCGGTTTCACAATTTGTGACATTACTATTTAGCTGTTAAGGTCGCATGTATGCAACAATAACTTACGGTTATAATATACTATTTAAAAAAACCCAATTAATTTGGCCTATATCGTTCAAACGAATTGGGTGTGACTATTAAGTATACTGGTTATAAAGAAAAGATTCTACTTTTTAAAAGATAAAGAAAAGGAATATATCAAACTAGAAAATGATAAAATTAAGATAATTATTTTTGAGGAAATACAATGATATTAGATAAATTAATTTAAAAATATTAGTCTTTTTTGTTTATTATGATTTAGAAGGAAAAAAGAAATTGCCTTTTTGACCTTTGAATTAAACAAACAAACAAAATAATGCGATCTCTATTTTGTTTGTACTATAGGATATATCAGTTATTATTTTCAGCTATCCTAATTAAAATTCAATGTAAAATAATATCGTTATTACGTTTTTTTTAAGAATGATGAACGACAGAAGCTCGAAATTGTTTACACACATAAAATTAAAGACATTCATTATTATCGTTATTATTATCATCATAAATATTGCTAGCACCGTTGAATCGTAAACGATTCGTCAAATTCATATTCAGTGGTTGTGTTGCCTAAGCTGATGAATAATCAGTAATAACACAATACAGCTTAGAACTAGATATTAATAATGATTATTTTTATCAGAAATTGATCCATTCACTTAAAACACTGATGAAAGCAAGGAAACATTGATTAACTGTTCCGTTTCACTTTGTGTTTTGTCGGGAATATGGCAAAAGCATATTAAAACATCTAAATCATGAAATCCTGGTCAAGTTGAAAGCACTAAATTATTAGACTACTGAGTCCTTGGCCTTGGTATCATAAGAATCGGCGTACTTGTACGCCGTCACAAGCTCAAACCACGCTTCGATTATTTCGGTTTGGAAAGTTGGATAATTTCAGTAGCGATCTCATGAATGGTAAACCTTAAAAACCTGTATAAATCTATGTAAATGATTAGGGTAGGCAGTTGAAGGAAATTATTCACTCCCAATTTGATATCAATCAGAGAATCTCTGAATTCTGGTTCCTATTTGAAAATGGAAACTAATAATTAAATGATCTGTAAATAGCTTCAATTTAACCGGTTGGCGGTTTGAGAGAGAATGATTAACTGATTTCTTATTGGTTGAAAACTGGCATGATGCCATTTAATGTTGAAATGCCTAATAAACATGATATTAACCAATCAGAACCAAAGATGGACCTAAACTTCGAAATGTGAGCTACCGTTTAACTGATACGTTTACATTTATATGAAAATAAAAGTGAACATGATCGTTATCGAATAAAAGTAAATTATACCTTATCGACATCAAAGTAACATTGCATATGTATATATATGTATTTACTTTCGAAAAATGATTATACGCAAATCAATGTAAAAATCTTACAATTAATAATAATAGCAATCACACACCAATAACAAACATAATACCATTAATATGTTAAAGAAATAAAATGTGAATCATGCTACAAATCATATGTATGCACATTATCAGTGTGATGAGTTAATATATGCAAAATGGTTTAAATAAACAAATAACATTGGAAAAGCAACAGGTTTACCTTGTTCAAATTGATTAGAGTAAATTCTTGAGATATGTATACATATATGGTTGATAAAAGTTAGAAAACAAAAAAAGAGGAATGTTGAATGTGCAATTGACAGTTCGCAATTATAGATATGTTTGAAAAATCATTAGGTGAGAGACAAACAGATTCGTTGTAGGATTAACATTACACTGTTGTCAGTAGTAGCGATAGTAGTATTAGTAGTAGTAGTAGTATTGCTCGTTAACGCGAAAGTTTTTATTTACAAATGATGAACTAATATTGCTATTCTTATTATTATTACTATCCCTAAAAATCAAATTTGTTCCAATCGTTATCTTTGTTTTAATCATAATTATTATTGTTATTATGACTACTGTCATCATTTAATATCATGACCTTGAACATCATCATCATCATTTTCTGAACAGGCAGAGCATTCCGCTGATGATCTAGAGCAATATAAACTGGAAAAAAAACAGGAATTGAAGAAAAACAAAATAACAAGCATATTTCAGTGATGAGTTAGGATGACGCATATGAAGTGTTAATAAATAAAAACAAAACGTGAATATAAATAAATGAACGAACGAATGAAGCTTAAGTGTTATATAATAAAAAAAATCCATTAATAAAATAAATCCCACACTCCTCATAATCTAAGAGTATGAGATTAAATAACAATTATATGGTAAATTTTTATTACGACGGTGATTAAATATCTATCACATTGTATAATTTAAACGTTTTGAGTTTGAATTTGTATTTGTACTTTAATAAAAAGGAGTTCAATCTTAGGAAAAGATAAATGTTCAGTGTTTCCCAGTATTCAATATCTTTAAAGTTATGGTTATCAGTCTATATTTACGTTGAACATATTTTCATACACTATGATTATTGATCGAAGATGTTGGGTGGTCAGATTAAATAGCACGAACGCAACCATTATTTGTCTTTCCTTAGATCTCGAGTTCTTAACTGATCACACACTTTTTGTTCTGCGGAATCATTATTTCTTCTGGGATTATATCTTCGATACCTAATCTTTTCTGTTGACACCGGTTCTGTTACTAATTTGACTACCATGAGATTTCTACCGATGATCTCGTCCCACTGTGCTGATATAGTGTGGCAATTCGAACTGGTTCACAGAAGTGTCAGATTCTACTTTATCTATGACTGATACCATCTACTTTATTTGTTAGCTTGGCTGTTTTAGTACTCTTGATGTGATAAATAATGAACAATCCAATAGCAACGTTTCAGTATGTAAATCTGGGTAACCTAAGTTATAAGTTACAAATAGGACATCAGTCTTCTCAAGATTTTCCATACACTTTGCTAACGAGTGTGAACTAGCAATAAACCTAGGTCCCAGATTTGTAACGTTTACCTTCAACAATTTAACATCTGTATAGCAGTCATAGCTGATAATCACAATCTGCTTCTGGTATGTTGTTTCTTTCAGACATTCAACATTTCACATATTCAGAGTTATAATAATTTACACTCTAGTTATTTGTTAATTACATAATTTAATAACAATGATTTGAATTTATTCTACAATCAAACAAATCAAATTAATAAGCAAACTTTAATTTACTTAGCACTTAAGCAACTTTCAGTTCAATACAATCGATATTACTAGTACCAATGACAATAAAAAACAACAAGAAATAACGAACAGAAATTATTGCGAAATAAAAAGAGTTTAATGTTAGAACATTTGTCACCAAAACTGAAAGCCAACAAAACAACTCACTACAACAACAATACTTAGTGTAATAAGTTATAAAATGTTAATTTCTCACAGATAACAGAAACAAACAAAATAAAATGTCAAAGAAAATTAGTAGAACAATTTAACATAGAACTGATGAATTATAGTTGAAGTTGAACAAATTCAGTAGATAGATTATATATTTCTTGACAGAAATAAACAGGATATGTATGAATGTATGAAATTATAGTTACAAGATAGATGTGAAAAACTGAAAATGCTTACAAAGTCGAAATCTCTTTATTCTACATTGTTATCATTCATAAACGCTTTAAACCCCATTCCAGGTTATGTTTATTTATTTAGTATGTTTATTATGAAACAGCATAAAAACTAAATTGGTGTAAACAATGTTCTACATTTTATATGCTAGTATTGTTTACCTATTTTCATAACTAGAATAACTGCATTAATTTCTTTGTATGTCCCCTTTTGCTCTGTTTACATTTCCTTATAATCTTGAGCAAATAAGTAATCGGTATGGTACTTTTCATTCTGTTCGAAAACTGATATATATATATATATATATATATATATATATATATATATATATATATATATATATATATAATTGACTTTGAACACTCAGTTCATATGAAAACGATAATGGATGTTTAGCAAAACAAATATACAATTAGTGAAAACAGTTAAATAAATTCACCTCTTGTAAATTCTAAGGTGACGTAATTCAGATAATTCATTTACGAATTTGAGAAAAAAGACACGTGATTAAATAGGAAACATTAAAAAGTTCTTGACTGAGATCATGAACCGATTGATGTTAGACCACCATTGAAAACCTGAAAGCACTGGACGGCCGTTTCGTCCCATTGTGGGACTACTCAGCGGTGCGTATCCACGATCCGAGGGATTCCAACCCTGGGCCTGCAGTCTCGCGCGCGAATGCTTAACCTACTGGACCATTGAGCCGGCATCCAATGGTGTTAATGTCTAACCTCAATCAATCCACGAAGTTGCGCAACCATCTTCCATTGTACTGAGGTAGACACCTGTCTCTACCCGAAACGGATTAGCTCCACTGGTCACGGCTTCTCATTAGAACTCCGAGAATTCCCTCACGAAGCTAGTCACTAGTGAGCATATGGTAATTATCAGTTTAGGGGTTGTGGAGATTGTTACGTTTTTGATTGAGATCACGATCATGGATGCGCACCACTGGGGAGTCCTACAATAAGACGAAACGGCCGTCCAGTGCTTCCAGGTTTTCAATGGTGGTCTAACATCAATCGGTTCATGATCTCAATCAAAAACTTAATAATCTCCACAACCCCTAAACTGATAATTAAAAAGTTCATCATCTTATTCTCATAAGATTAAACCAACACTTACTTAGGATTTGGACGTAGAAGAAAATCTTGTGATCCTTTTGTAAATTTATTTAAAATAAGATCTTCGCCTGATGAATTACAATTTAAAAGATCTTCATAATCTGATTCACTTTGTTTTGATTTAATTAATGCTTCTAAATCTTGTGTACGTCTCAATAAAGCATTCATTTCAGCACGTGAACATAATGCTTCATGCATTGCTTTGTTAGCATCCATTTGTGCTTCTTCAGCTCGTCGTTGAGCTGTTGTAGCACGTCTAGTTGCTTCGTTTTCATCTTGTTGTGCTTCACGTAGTTGTCTAGATAATTTACGATTTTGTTCACGTTCATTAGCTTCAATAATTATTAGTTTATCACGTTCATTTGTCAACTGATCGATTGTTTCTTTGGCACGATCAAGTGAATATTGTATACGTACTCGATTACTAGTTTCAATATCTAAACGTTGTTCTAATTCACGATTTTTCGCTTCTAAACGTTCTAGCTCACTACGAGGAACCTAATAATTGGGGAAAAATGAAACAATGAAACACTCATTAGTTCAAGCTAAAAAGATAAAATTATTAAGCCTACTAATTCATTTTCACTTTTAAATGTATTATGATAAATTTACATATGAAAGGTTGGAATAACTACTCAGTACACAGATCCAATCGAAATCCTTTCGAATACTACTGATTCTAAAACCGCCCATGTTGAGCAGAACTATTTGCAGTAAAATAATAATAATAATAATTTTACATTACTTATTATAATTACAGTCAACAAATGTATCGTTCAATAATAGGTTGCAAAATCTCTTCATTGAGGATTTTAGTATCGGTTATGTAAGCAAGTTATGAGCTTCCCAACATCAAAAAAATATATGCGTCAACATAAAAGCTTACAACAGTATATCTGAATATAATAGATTAAAACGTTTGTGTACAGCATCCCTTATAACACATTAACAATATCAGAAACAATGATAACAACTAAGAATATGACCAACTTGATCGATATTATTAGTATTCAATTTCAGTTTCAACTCGTCTATTTGTGTTTGCATTTTTTTCCGCTCGATTAAAAATTCATCAATTTCTTGTATCTGCGCCTGAATTGTAGCCTCTTTTATTGTTAAACTAGCTGTTGCATTTTGTAATTTATCACGTGTTTCTTTATGAGCTTCTTCTTGATCAGTAAATTGACTTTGTAAATCTAAAAATTGACGTTTCGACCGAGACAAATCTTCTTCAAACTAGTGAAACAGAGAAATAAATCAAATGAACAGTGAATTAAAAAACTGGATTTAACCAGTGTTCAATATTCAAGTGTGATAGGCATCAAAATTGTTTTCATTCTTCTTATTATTATTATTCTTTGTAGATCAAAATAATTATTTCTACAACAGAGAGAAATGAATTCTTCGAGATACCTTTAAATAACCAATAGCATGGAACTAATCTGGTATGAAACTATCAACCAATAACTATTCAATTAATCTATTAAAGAGAAACTGTAGGCTATGAGACTGAAATTCATCTACTTGCAATGTAAGGAATCGGTGACTCAGAAGAATCATACAGAGAAAGATTCAAAATTGATAACATTTCTTAAAAGCTTGAAATAATATAAAATGTTCATTATATATATCTTTTTTTCTACACTTTTACACTTCCCAATCGGTTAATTTCACTGCGTTTCCACATATATTTGGTAATTTTATAGGGTTTTTATGCTTCAAAAAGGCGTATAAATCACAATGTAGTAGTTTTCTTTATTTTTGTGAAAGTTGATTAATTTAGATTTGATTTATAAAATATTTTATAATTCCGTAAATTAGTATGACATGTTGATTGGAACTGTTATGCTTTATGGTTTACATTGTAAACTAAACGAGTTAAGAAACCATTAAAAGTTGAGAAGCACTGGATAGCTTCTTGGTTATTATATGGGATTCATCAACAGTGTACATTCAATAACCTACTGAAGATGGAGCCCAGGATATTCAGATCTCACAACGAGCACCGAAACTTTAAACCACTAAGCCAACATCTCATGGTTTACATTTCGAAATTCAATCAATTCTCGATATTGCTCAGTCACCTTCCAATGTCAACAGTAGGTAATCACCTCACACTCAACATGACTGAACTTCACTGAGCACGGCTTCTCAATAAAATTTTAAAAAATTAAATGGTCTGATAGCATTACTACGCTGCAGATTGATTGATTACTGAAAAGACGCAAGAACCATTAGATTTTAATTCATATGATTATCTATTGCTCGACATGTAAATTCTACTATTTCATAGCGAAAACATACATTATTAAAATTTGAAGCAAACCATCAATTTAAACACACACAAATATATATATATATATATATATATATATATATATATATATATATATATATACTTGAATACCTCTTTTTGTGTACGTAGAGCACTGGCAAGCTGTTGTTGGATCTCATCTAAATCACTCTGTAAAGCACGTTTTTGACGATTCAGTATTTCATTTAATTCGTCCAATTCATCAACCTAACAAGTTAATGGTTATGATAAATGATTAAGAAATGAACGACAATTAAAACAATAACTGAAGTTCACTCGTTATAATAATAATAATAATGAAAGTATTATCTAATTTCCAGAATATTACTGGCGGAAAATGCCGTAAACTGGATGTCGATATACTGTCTGCTTCAGCTTGCTATTCACATTAGCAAAATAGATCAGACTTTTAGTTGTAAAACTATGTATATTGAGATATATGTTATGAATACCCGAACACCGACTGCTTCAAAACGTGGTATTAGTTGGTGCAAGAGGAGGTTGGAAGAAAACTACGAGCAGTCAAATCGAAACATGACGTCCCCTCATGAAATCACTGACTGCTGGAGTTTACTTCCGTTGGTAAGTTGAAATTATATGGTTAAGGCCCTCATGGTTATCGTAAACAATGGTTCTAAATGTTGGTTGATATAGCTGAAAATCAGTTTCAATGACATATATCCACTCATCTTTTTTCTTTCCTTAGATCTTGAATTTTAAACTGATTCTATAACTTTTTTTATCTTGTGGATTTATTCTTTTTCCTTAAATAGTATATTCTTTGCTTCGTCATCTTCACTATTACTAATCTTCTTAGTACTTTTATGAATCTAGCATTTGTATTGATAATATCCTCACACTGTGCCAAAATAGTGTAGGAAATTGAATTGATTTACCAGATTCTGCATTGCTTATGATAAAATAACTTATTTTATTTTATGGTAATTAAATCTAAATGAGCTAAAATGCCATTTTTAGTGCTTCAAATCATTTAAAAGTCATGATAAATTACTATTAAATTAAATAGTTTAACTTTAATTAGTAGATTAAACAATAATAAAATAATCAGATTTATGTTATATCTTAATGAGTAGAAAGTTGTATTAACGACGTTCACGACTTACATTAAGTCGAAAAGAAGTTTGTAATGTAAATTTTTACTTACTGGGATATCAAAAAAATGTTTTATCATTAATATTATTACCATTAATATTACATTATTATTATCATATTACTATTATTGTCATATTATTATTACTAACATCCTACACAATGCTCATTTTATTTGAAACTGTCATATAGACTAAACAGCTGGAATGTTTTCCTTTTCATAAATTGTTTTATTATTCTAATTTAAATAATTAGTCATTCATTCATCTATAACATAAGATCAGGAACATATATACATCAGACCAAGTTAACATATCTTATTAGCACAAGATGAAGCAGTTACTTAAATGGTAGTAAACTATATAAATAAAGATTGTATATAAAAGGATACAAGGAGAAAGAATTGGTTCGTAGAAAAAAGGATATAAAGTAAGTTTAATCTCATGGTTTAAGGGAAGACAAATAGTGTATACACCTACGTCATTGTGGCCAATTCTTAGCCATGTCACCTAGAGTCTCTAACCACTGGTTATTATTATTATTATTATTATTATTAAATATGCACTAATTTGAATTTCTCAGTAATGAATTTTTAAATGATGCATACAGATGTATATTCAATAAAGGTAGAAAAAATATTGAAATATCAATGCAGTTAATTGTAAAATGAACTTACCCGATCACGTAGTTTCGTAATTTGACTTTGTGAATCACTAGGATTTGAAGATAATTCGATGATTAATGCTTCTTTTTCAGCTAGTAAACTTTTAACTATTTTCAGTTCTTTTCTTAACTTATGTTCTAAAATAATAAGAGAAATTATTAGTAATAATAAATAATATGTTAGATAGTGCAAAGCAGTTGAGTATATGAGAAATGCCTGATTGTTTGTAGGCTTATCAGTGTTGATATTTCTGCTGAAACTTATTTAAATAGTCTATAAGTACACACTTAACCTCCAATGTTAAAAGCGGGAAGCATAACAACATTAAGATTTAGATACGTTCCACTTACGAGCCTCAAATAGGACGAAACGTATGTCCTAGAATTCATATCTAATTAATGCTGAAAATATAATCAACTTGTCAATTCACTCAATATTTAAGTATGTGTCTAGAAACGCTACAGACTAACAGAGACTAAAACAAAGTTTCCTTTTCAAAAAAGATCAAAAGATTGGAAATCTAAAAGTAGCGAATGAATTAAAAACAAAAAATAAATACGTGGGTAAAGGATAAATAGTCCGTGTATGTGTGTGTTATCGACACTTTTACTTCCCTAACACTGAAAAATAGGGTAGTTTATATTGCTGAATCCTCAGAAAGCCCATGAGTGTATAAGTCTAGTGGAAAGAATCAAGAAAAACATTTGTTAAATTACAGAGTATTAACAAGGAACCTAGGAAGTATTTTATCAAAACGCGACTTGAAAAACGATATATCCCCAAAATATTTTACATAACTTTCCATAATAACAACTATTCAGGGCTTGTAAAGTTCCGTTACATTCTTCAGCTTTTTTATGTTTGCCACAAAGGTACGGTTAGAATTCAACACTCAATATTTACTTCATCAATTAAAAAAGACAGTTTATTTGCATATACTAAATAAGATCTTCAACACAAAGTGTATAATAGGTAATGTAAATAGAATTTATATTAAATATTGTCCTTATCTAAAAACTAGGGAACACTTGGTAATAACTTTCCCTTTGCTCGACACCATATACCCCTCAACAACACATACAGATCACTACAAATGAAATAGAACATGGGTTTTTCAGATTCTGCTAAGAAAACACAAGCTCTAGACTACTCGATTGAAAAATGAAGTTCGAAGTTCCTATCAAGTTAACTTATCACAGAGTTCATCTATCATCCAGTTCAACTGATAAGTACCTACATCACTTTTATTTGGATCAAACACTAAAGTGTAAAAGTTTACTAGAAAATAATTTTTTTATAAAAACTGAAGAACATTTATAAATAAATAACCATGTCACTTATGCCATCTAATGACAAGAGGAAAATTAAATTTCAATTAGTTTTAATTACAACAACAATAACAATAGCCTACCGATATCACCATCATTAGAAGCATTTGATAATTCTATATTCAATGTAGACACTTCCAATTCTAACTGATGCTTATCTCTTTTTAAACGTGTATTTTCTTCTTGTACTATACTCATTGTTTCTTCTAACTGACGTAATTTGATTTGATTTGCTGTACGATTTGCTTCATAATCCGCTTCATATTCATCTTGCATACGTGTTATATCAATGCGTAATTTTTCAATAGTTTTTTCAGCTTTTTGATGATTTGCATAAGCAGTTTCTAAATCTTTTGTTAAATCTGCTATGGTGTTTTGTAAATCCGTTAATTGTAATTTTAATAGCTGATTAGCCGAACGTAATTGATTTAATTCAGTTAATAGGGGTTCTGGAGCATCTGGATATAAAACTGTATATTCTGCAGTAGTATTGTTCTGTGTATCTTGTCTAGATGAATTTTTCAATGATTCCAGTAGGAGAAGATGTCTTTTCTCAGCTTGTTCCAATTTTAAACTTATCACCTTTAAATATTAAAAAAGTCATAATTATTAAAGCATAAAACCATAAAACGTTTTAGAAAAAATATATCTCCTTATTAAAGTTGGACAGTGGTCAGTAGTTGGATTCAAAGGGAGAGTTTTGTCCTACTAAAGATCAATCATTTGGATGTACCTTCATCCAAGTTTTGATTTTCCACTGCTAGTCACTCCTGAACTTCGATTTAAAAAAACTTGTAGACAAACGATAATTACAAGGCAATCAGCTCACAATAAAAATATATGCAATGGAAAGTAACTAATTGCAATTATGATAATCAATAACCGGAAAAAACAAGCCCTTACATATAATAAAATCGTTTGCTCTAAAATTTAAAATATTTCGTTAAGCTTGCTTCATTTTTGAAAACAATACGAAATTTTATGGGAGCAGATTTAAAAGTTTGAAAGAATGGCATAAATCTCAGAGGCGTATTTGTTCGTAAAAATTATTTTCAGGTTGTACAAAGTAATTTGTCATAGTAAACAGTTAAACAAAATTAATGAAAGTTATAGAATACACCTTAATAATTATCGGCCTTCCTATTTACTTTGGTAAATTATTGGCCGAAAATCTATTAAAATAGATGATAAAAATAGTGATACATGGTTGTTCCAGAATAAATTGATAACACTTGTAAGAGTTTAAATTTTTCCGTTGTTAATGTTACGCACTGAAATTGGTTAATCTGTATTGATATATATGGATCCTAGGAGGATTGTTCTAAAATTGTCATTCAGCCACAAGTTTTTACTAGTTCCGACCACTGAGTCCCAGATAGAAAGAAACGTATGTCTTGGATTCTACTGTTAGGTAAAACCCAACTTTATTTTTTAAAAAAATAACATATATAGGAATCGAGCAGTTATCTTGTTCAAGGTTAAAACTATTTAGTCATATGTATAAACAACAATTTCATACGGTACTGAACAAATGAATTTTTTTTTAGTTTTACGGTAAACATGACAATATGACAACTAAGTTTGGGTACAATCGTTAAAAAAAATATTCAAAATTCAATCAGTACCCAATATAAAGCTATGCTCAGTCAATGGTTAATTAGTTTTCTAAAAGATTTCTCAATTTTATAGTTTTTTTTTCTACAAAACGTTTAACAAAAATAAATTAACACCAAGGTTATTAACAATTAATTGATAAAAGTCATCGTGAATTATCTGATTTCATTTTATAACACACACACACACATGTTACCAAGTTAACCACATGAATGAACGCAAATAATTTTCTCTAGAAAAAAGAAAGGCCTAAATTCTTTCCACAATTCAGTTTATTATTATAAATCCTGATATGGCTGAATTTAAATCAGGAAAAAAAATCTCTTCAATGAATGAATTATTTATAATTACTTTTCTTAAAATAATTACAAGAAAGTACAATAAAATAATTATGAAAGAAATTATAAAACAAAACATTAAATTCATTCAATTGTTAATATTACTATTATTAGTAGTAATAGTAGTACTATTCCTGAAAGAAATAAAAGGTGAATGAAAAGAACAGAATTCAACTCAAACCTAAAACTACGCCCATAAATAAAGGATATGATTAGAAAATTAATGGTAAATACTTTATACAAATGACAGATAACCATGAAGAGGGGAATTGTGTTAGCGATTTATTTATCAAGCTTTTAAGCAATCAGTCAAAGAATATATATGAAACGAGCAAGAACAAAGATTCTAGCAGAATAGTATGAATTCATTTTATTTCGTAGGTTCTCGTCATCTGCTTACAACCTGTGATATTTAAAAATCATAATTACATAATGGGTTTAAATTGCGTATATGAGAGCATTTGTTTGGAAGTTATATTGAAGATATATTCCTAAAGTATATCATGGGTGTAAATGAAATTAATAGACGGAATATTGTAAATATATACCTAATGTGAAAGAATATTCTAAAACATTATTTGTGACAACAGTTCAAAAGTTGGTTAGAAACAATCGATTACATAATGAATAAACATTGATAGGAATATAGTGAGTAGAGTTCGGTTGAAAGATTATTAATTTGAAAGATAGTTGAAAAAATAAAATCAATGATGTAATAAATACAAAAGAAAAAAGAAAAAAATTTAAGGTGCAGCGAAAGAATATTTGTCACCAAGGCAAGGAAAAATTAACAACCGTCTCCTTTTGAAGACATAGGTCAGGTTTTTGACGTCTGATGGCAACGCCTTCAGCAAACTTCAGAAGACTGGAGTTTGGCTGCTTACTGATCACCCTAAAGGATTGTAAGGTATCTACCTGATGTCCTGTATCAAGGAGATGTTTGATGATTGCACTATTCAGAGTCTTTCTTTCCCTTGTTCTAAGACCTTTTGGAACATGTTAAAAAAATCTAAGATATGCTCTCCTTTCAGTTCGGCAGATGTAGCTGCTTTGGTGATTGCACTATTCTTGCTCTTTTCAAAATGATAAAGGGAACTATGTGTATCAAATAATAGATATGATCAGATGTCAAGTATAGGTGAAATTAATTTTCTAGATAAACAGTAAAAATGAGCAACATTTTATAAAGATGAAGATTAATTGATAGAATGGGGAGAAATATGAACGCATATGTTCCAATGAGACCGATTGTGAGTCGTAGCATCCATCTCCAATTACTGATCATGGTTGTTGTGTAAATTCCACCAATCGACAATTTCATGAATTGAAGCTGTTTTATAGTTTGTTCGCTTCTACCTTTCCTTCAAGTCTACTCCTACTTCAACAAGTATTATTCATGTAGTTTTAAATATATAGTTTGTAATAACACCTTTAATAGATACTATGATTAATTTGATGAAAGATAACTCGGTTAGGACAGACGTTGACATATACACACATCGGGGTTAATTCAGAAAATAAATATTCATTATAAATCCAGTGAATCAATAAAATCAGACCACGGATATTTTCAATCGTATAGATCAGAAACAGTAGTTCTCTGAAAAGATTATCCCATTGATTGGTTTGAATGGTCATTTGCTTGATTAATTAGTATCTTTTAATGTACATCGTTTAGTGACATGAGTCATTTTGTTTTAATTCAGATGTTTTACATAATTTATCAGTCTCTTCATTATGGAGACCGTAATATTTAAAACACTTTATTGTTCTCAGTATAGGATTGTAGAGAATGTCAAGTTTCATTGAGATCGCGGACCGACCAATGTTAGACCACCATTTAAAACCTGAAAACACTGAACAGCCCTTTCGTCCTAGTACAGAAATCCTCAGAAGTGAGCATCCAATATCGCGCACGCGGGTGTCTACGCCGGGACCTTCTGTCTCACGCGCAAACGCTCAATCTTGAGGCCACAGAGCCACCATCTATTTATACCTAACAAATAGTCCAAGATATTGCGCAACCATCTTCCGCTGTCTTTGGTGTGACTATCTCACACTCAACACTGTTGGACTCCACTGGTCACGGCTTCTCAATAGAACGCTGATAATTACCACTCAAAGGACAAAATGGCCGTTCAGCGCTTACAGGTATTTAGTGGTGATCTAACATTGATTAATTTGTTTATTTAAAAAAAGAAAAAAAAGGAATCTTGAAACTTACATTACTTTGTTGTTCAGCTTGTATACGATTTTCTTCAGCTAATTCTAAATCACTTCTAGCACGATCACAATTTTGTTTATAATGTGCATTTTCAATTGTCAATGCTGATAATTTGCACTTTAAATCATTCGACATTGCCTCCAATTCTTTAATACGTTCTAATGCTTTAGCATATTCATGTTTTAAGTTAATTAATTCATTATCAGAATGATTTAATTGATTATCATTATCTAATTTGATTGTTAATTGTGAAATAGGCGGTAAATCTGGTGTTACAGGCTTATTAATATCATTCTTTAAGAAAAAATACAGAACCATGAGAGAATAAAACAGACGTTAAAAACATTTTTAAATTGTAGATGGATAGTATAATAAAACTGTAAAATAGAAATGCATCGATTAGAGTTGACAACTCGACTTATAGACTTTTTAGATGGAACTCAATTATGACATGTAGCAAACAGTGGAAATACTTTTGTATACTAATCAAAACGTTTAAAGTGATTGTGAAGAATTTTATTTTTAAAAATAAAGTAAAAATGTCAATAAAGGGTTGTGGAGATTGTTAAGTTTAGACTGACATAATGAATGGGGCACTGTTAGACCACCGTCGAAAACCAGAAAGCACTGAAAGGCCGTCTCAGCCTGGTATAGGACTCCTAAGCAGTGTGCATCCATGATCCCGCACGTGGTACTCAAACCCAGGAAGTCCCATACCAGGACGAAACAGCTGTTCAGTGCTTTCAGGTTTTGAACGGTAGTCTGACACTGATCCATTCACGATATCAATCAAAAGTAGAAATGATAGTGTTGAACACATTGAATGTTTAATTTTGTCTCTATAGATTCTATATGACAAGTAAACCGAAACCATCTCTAAATTTTAATATTACATCTTTAACCTTAAAACAAACTTCAACTTGATGGCACGTTTTATGGATAAATTAATTAGTGAAAGCCTTTTTCATTTTTGCATTATAACTGATATCACAGTTTGAAATAAAACTCTAGTCCTAATCCCCCCAATCATTGCTTTAAATATCTAACCTTAACTAGGAACACTACGGGGTTCTTTAAAAATCCATTATAGTCTTTGTAAGGGTTCGAAAAGACGGATGATATACATCCATAAGGCCGGATTTATAGTTCGTTTATTTTGATTTGCAGGCAGAATAACGTGTAGAAAAATTCAGCAGATTAATTAATTGTGTAAAATCTGTCTTCACTTTGCAATACTGTTTTCTTTTCCATAAATTAACCATGTATAAAGACCATTCTCTGATTACCTAAGATTTTGATGCAAACTGGTGGCATTTGTTTTACACTCGTCTCCATACTATGCTTCTGCCGAAGTTACTAAAACGTATCTACTTTTAAGAGAGCAAGCAATACAAACACAATTTACCATATTGTGTTTCGGTGCTCGAGGTAAAACGACAATTAATGTCTTAATTCAGTATATGAGTAGTTTTATTTTTAATTCAGTATAATATTCGTGTGATAGTTTTTTCTTCATAACATTTTATAAAGTTAATTTAGCGTAACATTTTGTTTAGTATAATAGCTGTTTGCATAATTCCAGTGTAAAATCAATTTTTATATCCTCAATTTTTAAGCCATTTGTGATATCTTTTGATTAATCATTAAACATCAGTAAAATCTGTACATAAGCGAACATATTTGGTGAATAAAATGTTATCGAGTTCTTGGAGGGTGAATACTGTCTTTATTGGACATTAGCCTTTATCATCCTTAATGCGTAATTTGGTATATTCTAAATTGACTAGATTTGCAAGAAAATTCCCGACCCCTAAATTTCAAATCACTGACTTGAATGAGATCGTACTCATCGAAACGTACGTGAAAGTCGTAATAATATGTGTTAAAGAAACCTATCTTCAAATTCAATAATCTGCATACACTCACTATTGTAATACGGAAATTTAATCAACGAGAGAACGAATAATATGATGAAATGTTTACCATTATATAGTTATACAATAACTTACCTGAATAATGCATCCAGTTTTACCATTCAATAATGAATTTGACTGAAGTTGACCTGGACAAACCCCTTGTGACAACAAATCTGTTGAAATTAGACAGTAATAAATACACAGAATGATTACATTACAATAAATTATTTATTTCATCTGTAAAATTTATGATTTGGAAATGATAAACTATTCCTCTCAACTCTATGCTAGAAGTCTGTCAAGTTGATGACATGTTAGTTATTATTCATTAACGATGACACAAACGCTGGATGTAAGACTTGGAGACCGGCTCAAATGATCGATTGTCCCAGCAACTTTAACCAGATTGTCACATGACCATTAATTAATTACAACTGATATACTTATATAAGCAAAAATATGGAAGTTAATCCAGGTATTAAAGCCTGACAAGTCCTTCTACACCCACGAATCACCTTCATGAATGAGGGAGGATTCTAAATTAATCAGTTCAGTAGTCTGTTTGACGTAACTTATTTGACAATTATCTGGGCATAAATCATTGACTAGTCACATCTGAAATATTAACTTCTGTCAGACTCCAAACGCCTAGAATACTAACACACGGGGGGAAAGTCGGATTTTGTTGAAATTGTGAGTAAATTGATGTATAACTTGGGTTTTTGAATACTTCGAACTAGAATAAAAACATTTCGCTAAATAGAATGTTTAATGAGACGTTATCACGTATTTTCTTCTTAAAAGAAAGATATATATACATATATATATAAACGAACCTTTCTCTTGATTATTCTGATCAGATTCCGCAGCATCAAATGAAGGAGTCAAGCGATTGGTTTGAATTAAAATCTATAAATATAAAAAACGATAAGTGGGAGTATTTGACCATTAATCATTATATTAAAAAGGATTCAACAGGGAAAAATTTCTACTGTAATAACATTGAATCTGATAGCGATATTAATGAGTACTAACTGTGCATACTCATACACACAGACTCCTCAATTATCATGAACAGAGCAGAAACAAAGATCCAGAATAATGTGAATTCATTTTATTTCGTTCGGTTCTCGTCAGTTGTTTACAATCTATAATATTTTAAGATCAAAGTAATTATAGATATTGACATACATATAAATGCGAAGGTGATTAGAGACGAATGTATATATCATTATGTAGACAAGATTCCAATATAAGTAATAAGATCGTAAAAAAATTTGTTTCAGATAAATAACATGTGAGAAGGAAAGTTCCAGAATACTGAACTAGTGATTAACAATTATATTCGTTAGTAAACATGTGACACTGTAAACAGAATATTTCTACTGTTCGAAATAATCTTAAAACGACTACATTTCAAAGTCTTGAAGCAAATTAAACTAAACTATGCAGCCGGCCATACAATTTCATAAAACATAGAATGAGTATTTTAACATTATTACGAAAAATCAAGAAAGCGGAAATATAAGGTGAGAGAATAAATCTTATGTCGCTATTGATACGCATTCGTTGAAAATATGAAAACAAACCCTTACTAAATAATATAGTCTTTTATTTGTATGTGCTTATATTTTTACATCGTTCAAGACAACAATTGATCGAACCCAACTGGCGTATGTACATCTTGAGATCCTGAGCAAATTGTCATGATACTGTTATTTAGTAAGAAATTTTTGACAAAATTATATATATATGATTTACAGTAATGATATAATACTCATCGAGTGAATACGTTGCGTAATAGTTAGATAATGACATTAAAATTAGCATTGAGTAATTGGAAGAAAGAGGATTATTAATATTCAAAGTAATTATTAAATCAAGGAGTTGCTACGTTGTGTAATATATGAAAAGAAGAAGGAACAGGATTTTTAACAGATGGTCAATAGAATAGTAGTTATGTGAGAATCAACAGATGAATGTTGAGAAATTATAAAGTTCAAAAGCAATAGAAACAAAATTAAAAATTAAAAAAAAAAGAACCAAATGGAAGAAGTATGAAAAATAGTTCTGTCGAAGGTAATCTTATACCGATGGCCAAGGCAGCGAAAGTGGTTGCACAAATCTCTTCTGAATGCAAAGGTCAGGTTTGTGAACATTGATTGCGATGGCTTCCGCAGTGTGCAAAAGGCGCACTCGTAAACCATGTGGGATATGGTAGATAACCTTAAAAGCTTTATTCAATTCAACTTGATGACCTGTGTCAACCAAGTGAACGAGGATAGAACTTTTCATCACTTTTACCTGTCCTTTGCTTAACAACGACGGATGATGCTCTGTAATACGATAATGAAATTTCCGAATTGTACGCCCTATATAACTGGCTCCACAGGAGCAGTTGAATCGATAGATACACATGGATTTGACGAGGATATACAAATTGTTACTATTCTAATGACACCGTCTCTTTGATAATTTAATTGAAGAGCTCGACAAAACTAAACGTAAGCAGACTTAAGAGTAGGTGAGATGCTATACATAAATACTGGGATAATTAGGTTCATCTAGCGTATGATTTCTAAACAGGAAAAAACGTGTATCTTGGATTACATTGATAACCACTACCCAGCCTAAATAAAATCAGTCTTATGCTTTAGAATAAGGACTTTAAACTGAAATATCGCAACCACAATTTTAATATTCATAAAATAAGATAATTAGATCGATAGAATTTTATGATTAACCATAGCCTAAGCAAAAAAATAAGACTAATTACCATACGATAACCATGTAATGTTATAATGTAAAAAATTATACAGCAGGATTTATGACTAAAAGTGAACGAACTGAGATTAGTAAAAATAGTGTGATCTATCGGTGTCCGTGTTGATATACTGACAACAACAAAAACACCAAATAATCAACATCGGATCATGATAAATAAAAGCAAGTAATTAGCCAATTATTTTTATTTTTAATTACTTGTTTTTCAGATTTATTATCGGTAAAGAATGATGAATGTAGTATGCTTTTCCTAGGCTTCACTTGTTTATCCATATCTATTAAATGAATAGGAAAACAGCAAATCAATAGTTATGTATGTTACATAATATTTAATAAATTTACAATTCTGTACACTTGAACTGGTGATTCACAAAACAGACTATATTGTAGTGGCATTTTTATACAATTGTATTGTTTATACCTAAACTATCCTATTACTACTGATATTATTAATAATTCAAGCACACATTGAGAACTACTAGGAAAAAATCGTGTATAACTAAAATCAACCAGTGTTACATGGGCTCTGTGATTACACCCTCAGCCCACCGAAAGCGTTACCAATTCAGTTTATTTTTATGATTCCACTAAAATAAATATCCTTCCACGATGTGAACAAATAAAGCGTAACATTTACCCACACATCATCAACAGCACTAGAGATCATCCCAACAGTTTATCATCAGGTTTCACAAAACCAGTATGGTTAAAAGCCGAATGCATAACTTTACTTGTTAAATACATTAACTGGTGACGATGGCTTTTAATAAATTACTAAATTGACCTGAAAGAGACGTTTATGCTATTTACATCTATAGTCCCCATCTGATATCTTCAAAAATATATGAACATGCTCTTAATCTGTTTAGCTACACAATCACGGTTTATCACTAGAGAAAATCTAAGTTTTAATTACAACTTTATTAGAAAAAATCAATAAAAGAAATCTGCTATACACTATTATTATTAATGTAATATTTTTAACATGATGATAAACAACTCTGAATTCATTGGTATCTCTACGACCAATTATTCTTAATTTTGATTGGTTTTTTAAGATTTAATGCAATACTTGTACCTTAGCTAAATATTTAATAGCAAATGACGGTTAAGTTCCTTAATGTTTAACCAATCAGTTATTCAATAAGAAATATATCTTATATGTAGATCAGTGGACTTGGTGGTTGGTGATGTTTGACTTTCAACCACTGTGTAACAAGTGTGACTAGAGTTGCAGATACGTCGGCCTAAACCACCACATAGTATCCACTAGCTCTCGCACATCTACGCACACAAAATATGGTTGAAAGCAAGGAACAGGAATATATCCTTAGTGAATGGATTACTCCAGAAGTAGTTTTCTTATCTGAAATATGTTTGATTTCAAGCCAAAGAATTGGATCTCATGAGTTCATTACAAGTCGAACTACTTTAACCGTTTGGTCAATATTTTACAAAACTAATAGAATCGCCAGTGCGATTGTTAATGATAAATATTTACACGGTTTAAACCAATTCATAATCAAATTCATTAGTTAATTTGGAACTTCAATTTTAAATCATCACTTACCTTTTAGTTCAACATTAAGATCATTTGTTACAGAATCATATGAAATTGTTATAGGTTGAGTAGTATGCTGGAAAAATAAGAATAATTAAAAGATAAATTCACTTTTCAGAAAAAGGTAAGTTAAACAAAAGAATTGAATATTTGAAAAATATCTACTGAAATACTGAAATACAAAACAATGAAATAAAGAAAAATAAAAGACAACTTACTTTTGATTCAACTCCTGTTGAAATATTTAGTGATGAAGAATGGTAAGAAGTTGGATTGTCCAAGGAAATTTCTTTATTCATTATTACTGAATTATTCTTTGTTTCTAATAGGATTTTTTATTTCAAGAAGAGAATGGAACAAAATAATACAGAAACAATAAACCAGTTGGTGTAAACAAAATATTTTAAAAGTTAGTTGATAGACTAGGTTGACGAGAGTTGACGCTTCATATTTGGATTAAAATAAAAGTTTTGATGAATTATACAAACTATAATAACAAATTAATATGTTCGGTATGTGTTTAGTAGTGGAAACAAGACCCCTGTTTGATTTTAATCGGAACTCGTCAAGTGAATGTATCTGCACACGACTGTTGATATTCATACACTAAGACTCGCTTCAAATGCACAACGTGTTAATCCCTGAGCTATTGAGTTCATGTAGCCACTAATTTGTTCAACGGATATCAGGATATTAGTGATGGTGAATGGTTTCCCGTCGTTGATAGTAAGAACTACAAGTGATCGGTCTCTACGGCTATAACTGCATCCTGAAAATGTTATATCACAAGTGATAACTAATTATTCAAATTCTAACACAATCCACGTTGGTGTTTTTGCACATTGATTCATAATAAATTAGTGTGCCGTTCTGAATCAAGAATATATATTAATGAAGATCATTGACTATTGTTCATAAAGAGAAAATTTTGATTTTATCTACAAACATAATGCAAGGTTTATAACCAAGCTATCTAGCCCACCAAAATTAATATCAGAACAATACAAAGCGGTACGAAGACTAATACCAATGCTAGTCAGTCAATTATAATTGAAATAAAGCCTTGTAAAAATGTGTGATCGCTGAAACTGTTATATCACATAAAAATGATAATCTGAAGTTAACAAGAGGAATATAAAAAAGAATATAAATGATTGTTACAAATACTCAACGACAGAGAATGAAGTTTAATAACTATGAATAAAAATTATGAAATAACACTGAATATTAAGACTTGGAAGACGTTAAAGTATGAATGCATCTGTGCCACTGTGATCAATTTTAAAATTATTATAAAACATTTTAGATAAAAGTAGACCCAATTTGTAGACCTTCTTCGGTAAGATGCTTAATAAAAATAGGTTGAGAAAAACCTTAGAATAATTAGAATCAATGAATGTTATCTAATCTCCAAAAGTTACTGATATATTGTTTTTTATAGGTTATAGAATACAATATAGTCTGCAGACTGAAATTAAAATGTCCTAAATCAGCAGGTGTAAATCTTTAAAAAAGAAGGAACTAGCCTCGATATCAATCATAATAAATCATATGTATTTAAAATAGTTATCGTAAGACATACCTATATTATTATCTTCTGGATTCTGCTTTATAGTTTCCGACGAGCCAACCAATAGGACAGAACCGCATTTATACGTTTGCTGTATAATGGGAAAAGTTATAATTATGGCTGTTGTGCAACCGTAAAATTTAAAGAAGAAAAACTCATTCGGGAGTTTATCTCATTAATGTTAAACCAGACATTTGTAGTTGGCATAAGAAAACGACTTCGCTTAGACAACCGTTGAAGATCTAGAAATGGTGGATAGTTGTATGGTCTAATATGGGACTTGTCAACATTGGATGATTTGAAATTTTAAGACCATATTTTTGTAAAATTCTTAGTTTATAGTATGATTAAAGTAAGCAAGTAGAAAACGATTCTGAAGTTCCATTTTGGTTTTTATTCGTAAAATCATAAAATGATGTACAGTACTGAGACAAGTATTGGCACGCGAACCATTTACGGTTATGTAGATAGGTATACCATTTCGCTCAGATAAGAAAATCATCACAAGATTGAGAGAATAAAAGACCATAAACTCAATTGGATTGTAGATCTAAGCTGAGTACGAACTAGTAAGCTCTTTAGATAATAAAACATCAAAAATACAATAATTACTCGTCCTGAAATATAGACATCCACTAAAACAGGGTTGGGATGAGACAAATGACAAAACATCATCAAACAAGCCTATAAACAAAAATATGTGTATACAGTTAGTGAGATGCACAGATAAATATTAACTTGTATGTGATACTTTCAAAAACATACGAACACCAGTTGCCGATATTAATTATGATGCAACTGATTCACTTACATTTGAATCAGTATCTCGTGAAATAGATATAGAACGTTTTCCACGTTTGCTTAATGTAACTTCCTTATCAATCATCGTGGTGCTTTGTGCTAAACACAAAAAATAGCATAAGAAATAAGTGATAAACTAAAATAAATGAGATACCAACAAAACAACAAATAGGTTCAAAGTATTTACTGATAAATATTTTGATTCAGACGGTTTAGTGAAGATACCATAGTAATTAGAATGTAAGTTTAAAAACCAAATGATGTCAGCTGAAATATTGTTGTGAACCAGGAAGTTAAAGAACGTTAATCTTTCAGATAAGCTATACCACCATCATTACTTTGCTTTGTGATTCAAGGACATTGTCTTTATTGAGATATTCAGAGGCAGTAGGCTCATGCATTACGGTGGCACATTTATGAACAGTCATAAACTAGAAAAAAAAAGTTTAATAGTATCTGGTTTTCTATAATTTTACTGGATAAATCAATTCTCCCAGCATGATTTTTATTCAGTACTACTGATGTTTTTAATTCAAGTTTAAAATTAAATTACTTCACAACGTACTTGGTTATGAACCATACTCTAAGTATGAAGGCTAACGATACTAACAGGTTGACAAAGATGAAATAGGTCAGAGCTCGAACCTGCAGCTTAAAAACCGAAAGTGGGACTCCTTAATTACTAAAACACTGCTTCACAAATCGAAAACCTGGAAGAGTAGGAAACCTGTCTTTTTTCGAGTGTGAGACTCCTCAACAGTTCTAATCCACGAGCTTACTATTAAGTACCAAACTCAAGAGCTTTGGTCTCGCGCGCGAACCCTTAAGTCCTAGATGACTGAGTCGTTTTTAACTCAGTCTGATATTTTGATTTTGTTTCAATGTTACGTCAGTTCAAGACAATATTCTTCCGATTAGTTTAGTGTGAAATTCGTTCCGTATGAAACGAATTATGGGGCTTGGTAGTGGGTATATGTATTGGTTCCATTCACGATGTTATCTAACTGATCAAATGTGAGTGAACTCAATATATTAAAGTGGTTGTATTTTTGAATCGTAAATTACAGATTTAGATTTGCAAATGAATTAAAAGTACATTGCTCCAGCGAGGCCATTAAAATAAAGTGGCAAACTAATTTGAATAAAAAATAAAAGAAAACTGTTTAAGAATTATTTAACTTTTTGCGGATTGGCAGCATAGTGGATAAAGTTACATTTCTTTTTATTGGAGCAATTGAATAGTATCAACTGTCAGTCGCAACATATTTAGCTCATTGTGATGTGCATAAACCTATATTTAGTTAATGAATCACATTGAAACTATTTAAAAATCAATAATCATCATAACACGATGAGTATGAATTAGGTATGATTATGAGGATTCAATTCGACAGTGAGTTATATTGTGAAGTAACATGTTAGTAGAGATAAGTCTTCATCGATTGATATATATATATGTATATATATATATACTGGATAATACAGTATCAGGAATTGACTAAAGTTGCAAATAACCATCATATGATTTCAAATAAATGACCTAAGAAAATATTATGCTTACTATAAAACCCAAAAATCTAAGATTCAAGTTCGTGTGACGCTAATCGTGCGCATTACTGAGCATTATTAAACTAAAAGGGATTCACAAGGCAATACGATGAACAGCCTAATATCAGCTCAAACTTTAAATCTAGACTATCAACATATTTCTCCCATTACTTAATCTATAAATTTTCTAAAAATGTTCAATTTTTCTTTTTTTGATATGCTAAATTGTTAGTATTTTATATTACTTCGTAGACCATAAATAGACAACCAACGGAAACTAAGACCTACTGGTATCGAACTCCTCTGAAGTGCACATCCATGATCACATTAAAGAAAGGACTCAAGACCTCCAGGTAGTATTAGTAGTAGTAGAGAAAAACAGATATATACTGCTACCTGGTATTCAGTGCTTGTCAAACTAAAGCTAACCATTTCAACAATTTTCATAAACCTCTTATGCTAAACTGTTTTCCAGCTTAAACGCTTTGTTCACCTGCACCAAAAGAACAAGTTAAATGAATCGCCCAATAGAAGCAAATACAATCATAAACACTGATCTATATGAATTAAATAAATCTTACAATTAACATGTTCTTTATGTGTTGGTTCCAACTCTTCGCATTTCATCATCTAAAATAAAGTTATAGTATTTATTCGAAACAATTCAAATGAATACTATCACCATTCGACTTGAACAAATAATGAATATTACACACACATTATTTATAGTATTAATCTTGACAATTATAATTATAATGACATAATCAGTTTCAATGTGATATAAGTCGTTATCAATAGGATATATAGTTATGCGCTAGCCAGTATTGTCTAATGCACTATTACTAGTTCATGTGTTTGGTTGTGGTTGTTTTCTTATTAAAACAATTCTAGTAAGTCATAAACATAAATGTTAATAGTAACTCACTCTAATCTGTTTATGATTACAACCACTAATTATTAAATGTAAATACCGGTTTTTAACCATTTCCCTGATACCTAGTAACCGGATTTTTAATATCTATAAAATATATTTAAATGTAAAATGTAACTTAAATTATTTATGGGAAAACACTTTTTATCATTGAATAATAAATAGTTAATGTTTGTGAAGCATGTGATCTGTATATGAATGGATATAGTCATGTATCAAAAACGTTGATAATTTTTATCAAATGATTAAGCTCATAATTAAATAACAGAATTGCATATTCTGTCACTGGGATCAAAAATATTTTTACATATGCAAGACCATAATCACTAGTTCAGTAGTCTTTAAGATGTGAATAAATTTACGACAAGAATACTGGAGATAATCTGGATATTAAATATAGACTAGTTTCATATAAAGTCATTTCTGTAACAGGTTTACGTCAAATACGTATTCACTAAGGAATGAAGAACACTGAAGGGTTGTTTCATCTTTTTAAAGTACTCTGTAGCATGACGCAACCAACACCACCACAAGACATTCATTTTTAGTATATTTGGTATGTGAAAAGAAGTAGAATTCATGATGTGTATTTTGTTTTATTTGGGAAACAGTAATTAGATGTATCTGTATCGCAGGCGTTCGTGTTCATACTGATTTTTGAACGTAATAATTCCTAATCAAACGTCAAAATGATAGCTACTGAGTCCGGATACCCATTGAACATAACGCAATATCCAGGGAATCGGATAAGGTCTGATCTGTAACGACAAAGACCTATTAATTGTGGAATTATAAATATAATAATGGGAAATTACAAACCCTTACTAATGAGAGATCTTCAGGTTCATTAGGCCATTTTCTAAACATCTAATGGTCCACACACTCAACCCCTATGAATTCGAGATAGAGAGCAAATAATGTCCACGTAGTATATGATGTCTGCTTTATTACCCAAAAAATATATGTTAATATAAACCCACAATCCAAAACTCGTTGGTGTATGAAGGTTTATAGTTGACTGTCTACTTATACAGCTATATCCAATAATGTTAATACCAGGATGGACAAATAACATTTGATTTCTTTCAACTTTTACAAAATAAACAATAAGAAAAATAAATTCTTGCTTTCAGCTTATTATCACATAATTATTCACAGATAAACTACTAAATTAACAGTAAGTAGATGATGGAATCTTATTACACGAAAAATGTTATATTTTGGTAAGCCCCGAGTGAAAAATTTAAAATATTTGTGACACACTCCACATCAAATAAATGTTATTTGTTCATTTTCAACTATCGATAATTAAGACAGGTAATCAACTCCACTGAATTAAAATACTTTGGCATATAAATAGAAATGCTATTCATCAGCTTGATCAGCATACTGAACTTAACTTATCCAACAGTAAATTTAAAATTGTTTAATCGAAGGAATCGATGAATTTTACTTTCAACAAATATATTAAATCAAAATTCAACACCTCTTGAAATCACTTACAGTTGATTTCAAACTTTCAGATTTTTCGCATTGAATTGTAGAATCATCATCCACTTTCAACGTGGAAACTGACCCAACTTTATACATGGTATTATTTTTATTCGATGATACACTTATGGAGGCTAAAATAATGAAGAGTTTCAATGCATAAAATAAGAAATAGAGATATTTTCCAAATTCATTAGAAAACAAACATGAATAACACCTCAAAAGTATAGAGTATTAGGTGAAATTGACAAACCAGTTAATGAAAGTGAAATCACTACAACATATTTTTTATGAATATTTAACCATTTTTTACACTTATCTGTTGATTGATACGAGAGTAAATTGAAAAAAATCTAGGCAGCCGTCAGATCAAGATATAGCATTACTTTATGAAGTCATTTATCGTTTAAATGGTCTGTACTAGGAACTGTAATAATCCTAATTGAAATATCATAATTTAATTGTAAGCTTCGGTTGAAAATCATATGTTACATGCCATAAATAGTGCACAGTAGAGGTTAATTTGACTTCTATGTTTTGTTTATTCTTCACCATTAATTACTATTTATTACATGGATTCACTTATCAATTTCTTGATGAAAATTGTTACATTTCATGTGGATTCTACGTTGTTTATAGATGAGTTAGTCAGTCATTATTAACGAAGAGCATGGTACAGATGTACAACAGCCCAAGTTATATCATATAAACCAGATGAAACAAAATTAATAGAATGATTAGCAAAAATATCGAAACGAGGTAACAACGATAATAAGAACTACTGAACATTGAGAATATGGTTCAAAAACACAGAGTCACTGTTTAGAGGAAGATAAAGAGTGAATGTTCATGCACTCCTGTGGTGCATTCTAACCCGTATCATTCAAAGTCTCCATCCACTGATCATGGTTATCAAGAGCACCTCAGCCGGAGATTCCGTATCATCCAGTATGGCTCAGATCAAAAGTTAATGACTTCATGGCTGATATCGCTCATTGCATTTCCTAACCACCTCAAGTCAACGAAGACTTGTAACTTTATCAACTAAAATTCCTACCTTTACCTAGTACCATGGGTCTAACATTAACATTGCTCACAAGGTTGTCCCATGAAACAAAAACAATCGTTCAAAGACGTCTATGAGTGAGTTAAATGTGAGTAAAACTTATTATATGTACATAGTTTGTATTTTTACTTTATTGATATACATGGGATACATTTTGATCATTGCATTTCGAGTAACTTGATAGCTATTAAAAATCAATAGCTTAATAAATAATGTACTTGCATCTGGAGTAACGAAAACTTAATTCAATATGCATATACAGTAGGATCCCAGTGTGTTCAGCTTATGGATAATATTATATAGGACAAAATGCACATAATGTGATTCAGTGTAGATCATTATCAAACAACTTAATAAATTAAATAATTTATTAAGAAATTGTATTACAATTTTTAAGCGATAAAAACGTCTTACTTCTACATAATTAAATTAATAACGTTGATTAAGTAGTAAGTGGATAGAATTTGCTATTTAAATACTTGAAATATTTACACTAAAGAATAATCACAGTATTCGTAGTTAAATATTACTCAAAACAATCATTTTCTTTTATGAAAACATTCATTATATTTGGAGATTTTAGGTAATATGGCTCAAAATCGACCACACTGACGCAGATACATTCATTTTATCTGACTCAAGAAAGTGAATATCCGTATTACTTCACATACATCTTCCTACTCTGCCTCTTTGAACCGTATTCTTAATGTTCAGTAGTTTCTTTTATCGTTGTCGCTATATTATTTTGATGCCTATGTTAATCATCTAATTAGTTTTGTCTCATCGTGTGAATATATTATGACAACGTATGTTCCAGACACTACATTGATTGCAACATAAATTTTTTTATTACCATTGGTTGATACTTATGCAGAACTGATAGTTCTATCGTTAGAACACCAAACTTTCAACAAGTGAACTCACAGTTCCGAATTCTGTTCTACCTATTTCCATGAGGATAGAGTTGATCGAAGCGATACCGAGCAGTAATATCGACAACAAATTTCTACCAATATAGTGCTCATCCATGGAGTGCATGCCAAAAAACGGAAAACTCACAATGGATAAACTATTTCTGACAACATTTTGTTCACTCTGAAAATTTTCATGAAATTTGGATTTATGATGTAGAATACTATTTGAAAAAGATTAAACACAGTTCGATAAAATTCGCTTTTACATTCCAAGTTGTTTTCTAGATAACAGTAATCAAGAGTACACAATTTATTGAACTGGGTAATGAAACATGTTCATTATATTTGGGCTAAAGTACGACTTAAACAAGGTAGGGTTGAAGTTTTAACCTGCGGTTACCTAGTTTAATGAGATTCAAATATGCATATATATATATATATATATATATATATATATATATATATAGAGAGAGAGAGAGAGAGAGAGAGACATCTACCAGGGCATATTATAAACGAAACTACTGTTAATGTTTGAATATGAAATTCGTATTAAAACATTAGAGAATATACATCTTACCGTTTATATGCTTTTCATTTATCTCAACGTTACATGCACGTTCCTCAGCATTTGTGTACTTTGGTACAATATGAGGATTGATTTTATCTTCTTTCTGTAAATTGCATTGTAATAAGAATATAACCAGTTAGAAAACGAATTGAACTTATAAGCGAAATTAAAACTTACTACTGTAACCACTATTACCCATATATTGAATATATCCAAAGAATAGACTATAACACTTATTGATTACTGTGAAGTAACCGATGTTATGTTTGTCTAATCACTAGAGTTGGCAGAATTCTATCGATGTAGTTACGTTGTGACCATAAGTTTAAATGACTCCATAACATGATGGTTAAATGAAAATCAACAGGAAGTTTATAACTTAGCTTCTATAATACCTGCCATTCATCAACTGTGTGCATCTGTGATCTTGGGGAAATGATGCTCATTGTGAGGTTAGGACCGGTAACGCTTAATATTACAATCAAAAATATTATCACTGAACTTTGTACACCGTGAATGAAGACATGTACAACTCCGATATGTACAATTTATCAACGACTGATATCAATGTTTGTCTAATTTTTTCATGCTGATTGAATTGCATCGATCATGTTGTAATGTCTCCATTAGCCAAATAACTTGGTCACTATATATTATTATACATTCACACTAATGACTATGAATAGAAACTGACAACAATCAATATCGTCTGATTTCAACATTAAGTTGTAAAATATAAAACGTAACCATAAGGATTAAATAGTTTAATAACAAAATCTTAACAAACATAAATAATCCACCATCTCATTCTTAGTAGTGATAGCAATTAGTTTATCGAGTAACATAAAATTATTGACCTGATTCGTTATTATAATTATAATAATTATTATTTAATTCATCTTGATTTTAAGATAGGAAAGAAAAATTACAAAATCCTCAACAAAAAAAGACTGTTTTGCTCTTTTCATTTTTATTGCCACAGAGATAGTAAAGGAATTAATTAATTGCTTAGTTTTTCTCCAGATTTCAAAGACAATATATACGGTTCTTCTTACCTATCGATAACTACTGCAGACACAAATGACCTTAATGAATTGATATCATCATTATTTAGATATTACCAAAACTATTACTTATATATATATATATATATATATATATATATATATATATATATATAGAATATAGGGCGACAATATTGTGTCCAGATAATTAAAGTTTACACGAAACGCTAGACTCAAGTCTATTGGGTAATCACTATATATATATACAAATACTGCTTCGAAATCCACAATGAACAGTTCCTTATGACTTACTATAAAACATCAATCTGTCAAAATACTTGACGAAAAATCTCACTAAACAAAAGCTTATATGTTTATATAAATAAATCATGAATAACACAACTTTAAAAAAAGTATGGCGATTTATTGATACACCATATGATACTTTAATGGATTGCGATGCATATTACAGTGGTGACCCAAATGCTAGTTTAGCATTATGCATAACTTCAAGTATGGTTGGTGCAATTTCTATTTACATTCTACCATTTATTTGTATATTCGGTATCATTACAAATATTTATATTGGTTATGTATTTTTATATGAATTTAAGAAATTAAGTCGACAATCAATTTATATGTCACTTATATGTTGGTCTGATTCAATTACTATACTATTTCTTGGTATCCTATGGATGATACCAGCGAAAGGTTTACCGTTTGCTAGTGAAGGACGTATATATTATTTCATCATTTATGAATCTGTTGAATTATGTCGATTCTATCGTGGTATCTATTCATTGACATCAACATTAGCAAGTAATTTATTATTATTAACTAGTATAGATCGCTGTTTATGTATATATTATCCATTAAAATATCGTACAATACCTGTATATTATGCATGGTATTTGATTGGTGGAGTTAGTTTCATTTCATTCTTATGTGTTTTACCTGTTATAATATTAGTTGATTTTCATGATATTGGCACATTTACAACATGTTGGTTAGATGAAAGTCAAGCATTTTTGCAAATATTTATTATATTATTTAATAATGCTGGTTTTATACAAACAATAGTTATACTTGTATTGAATATCATATTTATGATAAAAATGCGTAAAACATTTACCAAAGAACGTTTAGCTGATCCACAATCGATTGAAAGTAAAGAATGGTCAGCTAGTGTAATTTTATTCATTTTAGCAACAACATTATTATTGTTTAGTTTACCACAATGTGCTGCATATTTAGCTGCTTTCTTTTTTCCATCTGTGATGGAGAAATCACAATCGGTACAATCAGTACGTTTAGCTTATAATATTGCCGATATAGCATGGCAATGTATATTTGCACAGAATGCTTCAGCAATATTTGTTTGTTGGCAAAGAATGCAGGAATTTCGACAGGTGTTTTATCGATTATTCTTGAAAGGACCATTACAACCACTTAGAAAGTATGTAAATGAAGCACAATCCACTATGCATTAATTAAATATTCTCTTAAATAAATTCTCATATTGTATGTATAGTTATATTTGTAAAACGTTAAACTTTACATGGAGTACTGGTTTGAGGGAAGAGGAAGTTAAAAGTTTGACCTTTCAATCACTTGGTCACAAGTTTGAGCACCGCTTCAATTAATTTGGTTTAAGAGATCGGGTAGTATCATTGGCCCACATGCAATAATAATCGTTTATGGTCGACTACACGAATGAATACTTAGTAAATGAGTCGGATTAATAAAATACACAATAGTGATGGTATATTTTAAACACGAAATATGCTCAGTTAAATTCAGTTTGTTTAATATTTTCAACAAACGAAATACAATCAAGCTCATTTTTTAAGAGTGTAGACACATTTAATAAAACAACATAATACGATGGAGAAAATAGTAATCAACTACAAAAACCAAATTAACAATAGAAACTATTGTAAATGTTTGTTTTATTTCTTAGTGAACTTTCAACCAATTTTAATGCATCTTAGCTTGTTGTTTATTTCAATACCTTTTAATTTTTGTATGTATTTTGAAATTACGCGTAAAAATGTGTTAACTTTAAATGAATACACTGTTTTTATTCAATAGCTTTTTATTTACCTGCTTATGAACAATTAAGTTTATAAGTTTATAAATCAAACATTTAAACGTATGTGTTCATGTAATTTACAGGTTGACGGTCGTTATTAATTAATAGAGACTGGGGAACTATTGAAAATAAACGAGCGATGAATAAAAATGCCATTTAAGACTTACGACTGATCCAATCATAAAATACTACGTGGAATCGAAACTATAAAATTCGGGCATTATTGTGACCGGGATAAATTGAAGCAAAAGTTTCTGGGATTATTTACTTTTATGTGAAATGTTCACAGATTTATTTGCTTAGTTTTGGATCACATTTTTTTATGTGATGGCTAGTGATATAATCCAGCTGTCTAAACGGAATTAGTTGGTGATGAAATTCATACACAGGCGTTGGGTCAGTAAACTGTCACTGAAGGAGATTCACTTTTAGCTACATTCGATGATTACGACTACATTTGATTGGTGGGCGTTTTTCTCACATCGATCCAGTTAACTTCACAGTTCATAGGCTTCATCTTCATACAGTGACTATGAAATCTAACCTGAAGTTTGATATCATTGAGTATATGGTTATTAACATAAGTTTCAACTATTTTATAGATACCAGTTTCTGATGAAAATGTTTTTTTTAAACTGTTACATTTGCTTAACAAAAGTCTCTCGTTTTTGAACATTTTTGAAATCACTGGCAATTCAGTAGTGCAAATAAGAATAAGACTTTCTGACTGTTTGTAAGAGCACTCTGTTAATATATTTTGATTGCCTATAAATTTATGCATTGATACAGTACTTTTCATTATGTCAAAATCATCCTAAAATCATTAAATTACAAGTGGAAACACAACTATATCATGATGAAAAATAAAAGAATGAGAGAGAGAGAGTAATCGCTTTGCATTCTACGATGCGTTATTTCTGGACAGTAAAATATTTTCTAAAATTTATAAATTTATGAGTAGGTTAAAATTAATTTCAAAGTTTCAGTCTGAAATTAAGTCCTTAAAATGAACTCAATGAAATTCGTTTCGGTTTTGAAATATAAGTAAATAAATCACATTTAGAGTTATCTGTCTACCAAACACATAATTTACTGATTGAAAGTAGAATCCGTTAAGCACTGAGTCGAACGTGTGACACAGCAAAATACAGTTTGGTAAGATTTAACTGATTACTAGTTTTCAAAAAATAAATGCTGTTAGGGTTCATCGTGTTTATGCCACACTCATTACTTAAGTAAATCTAATTCTTCTGTAGTTAAATATTCACAAATTACTGACCGTGCTATGATTTCAACAGTTTTATAACGACACACATAGGAAAAGAGAGAGACAACTATTTGCAGCTTTACTTGTTGGCAATACATTTAACATAATGAAGCACTTACATTTTTTAAAATCTTGATAGTTTATTTGGTTACTTTGAATGTTTTGGTTTGTATTTAACTGAATTAGTGCAATATGAAAACAAAGTTAATCTGAACTATGAGACAAATATTAGATTGATTACATTTTCTTAAAAATACTACTGAAAAGGAAACGAAGCTATTCAACGAAATATTTTTGTACAAAATATATTTATTAAAATCAAGGAAAATAAAGAAAAATTGGAAAGGATGTACACCTTTAGTTTCTTATTGTTGAGATATAAGTCGATTAGCCATATGTTGAAATGGAAACTTTAATACGGCGATCAGTTAAACATAAAATATTATTAAGCTTATTATCACTACTATAATTATCATGATTATTATTATTAATGAAAAGAGTATGTTTATGGTTCATCAAAACGTCAAACACCATCATACAATACAGCGTACCAATTTACCAGTAAGTATGTACATACATACAGATGAGATATTATTCTTAATTTGCAAATAAATAGGTGATAACATGGTTATGAAATAAAATAAATCCCAATAATTCAATATGAACAGAAGATAAACACCCGTCATCTATTTATTGTAAAGTATACAGTTAAGGCAATTCAGAAGACTGAATACAATCAGAATTTCGTATTGTTACTTAGAAATGATCTGAGACGAGTGTAGATGGGGTTATTGACTCCTTAACCATATTAATATAAACAGTATTGTAGATAACAATGTCTCCTATAATTAGGTTTTAGTATTCTAATGTTCTCAATAGTTTAGAGGTCTTTTATTTTTTATCTAAATATCTGAACAAATTAGTATGTCATTAAACTGGATTACTAGAAATGTATTCAACTGATGTAAATCACATTAATATTCTGATAAACTTCACCACCTCATTACATAGTATCTAATTGGATAACCAAAGGAATTAATTGTTTTAAACAAGAATATTTCATATCTATATATCTTCTTTTATTGTTATGAATGGAAAAAACAAATTTATTCAGAATGAACTTACTATCACAACTTGTTGTTCATTGCAACAGTCAATGATAAATGATTTACAATCGGGTTGAACATGGATCAATTCTTGGTCAATAGATAGTTCAGGAGAATAAGATAATCGATGAATAAGTTGTGGAATGATAAATGTTCGAAGATATATCTTAATGATGATGATAATGATAATAATGGAAATTGTAAACCAGAAAAAAAGGAAGTATTTAATGATTAGATGCGGCAAAACGCATATGATAAATACATGAAACAATAATAAGAAAAAAAATAGAAAGCTAAATAATAACAACTCATATAGTTTTAAGACAAGATAATTACGAAACAGTTATTAGTAGTTATCAAAAACAACATCGCCTTAGAAAACAACTTAGCATAAGTTCTTGATTAAACATTAGGAATGGGCTTGGCTTAGCGATAGAATCATTCAGCTTCTAACCAGTAGGTCAGGAAAGTTGAACATTTCTTCTGCTTTATTTTAGACAACTCAATAATATTAGTAGGGTTAAACAAATAAGGTATGACTTAAAGCTGAGTGGTCGGCAAATAGGTTACGTTATTCTTTATTCATTATTCCCAATGATTAATATAACTGATAAACTTTTGTAAGTGGAAGAATAACAAACATATTATCTGTTGAAGTGTCTTTATTCCGTTTTTTCTTGTTTTAAAATTCTTACACATTCAATTATTTTAGAGGTAAGACACTCGACAGACATGAGAACCATGGATTATGTCATTTATTGTAGTCCCGAATACTTTTTTATTAATATTAGGTCGTTTCAATAAAGTCTTGAAGTATCACTGCTACTAATATTACTACTCTTATTACTACAATAACTGTGATTGCTTTGCTATATTTTAGTACTTCTGAGACGTTACCACTGAGCTATTTGTGCCTCAACTGTATATATAATACAAAACCAACAAAAAAATGATTGATTAACTTCGTCGAAAAAGGAGCGGAATTTTTTTCCGCTAAATTCATGTGATTTTTATTTAACAATAGAATGGTTTACTTCATACATATAATTCCCCTTATTATTTTAAAGAGAACAAGAACAAAGATTGGTGCAGAATAATATGAATTTATTTTATTTCGTTAGGTTCTCATCAGCTTGTCGACCTTTGATTATGTATCCCTTTCATTTTACCACCAACTGCGTATACAAAGTCACATGTATCTGCCAAAGCAGTTACATTGGTAGAACATAAAGGAGAGGCGACGTCCGATTCAAAGAGCATATTTCGAAACGTTTAACATCAAATAGATTGAAAGCATTCAACAGTGCCATCGCAAGACATCTCCTTGACACAGTACATGAAGTCGATACACTGAAGTCCTTCAAGGTGATTATTAAACAATCATGCTCCAACCTTCTGAAATTTGCTAAAGCATTAGCAATCAAACGTCTAAAACCAGACCTATGTATACAAAAAGAGACAGTAATAAATCTTTCTTTACTTTGGTAACAATAACCCCCTTTTTTATTCATTTATTTCTATTTGTTTATTTATTTATTTCCTTATTTATTGCGTCATTATTCCAACTCTTTCTGAAGTTTAAATTACATCATACATAATTGACTGATTTCAATTCATATTTTTTTACTACCATTAATCTATTTTCATGAGTTCTAATCACTACTTCAATGTTCCGGAACTTTCCCTCTCAAACTTTATTTATTCGAGACAAAATTTTATGACCTCATTAACTCTATCGGAATCTTCGCTACAACATGACACATTTATTCATCCTTAATCACCCTCTTATGTATAAGTATGTCAATATCTGTAATAATGTTGAATTTTAAATAATTTAGGTTGTAAGCAGCTGACGAGAACCTAACAAAATAAAATGAATTCATATTATTCTGCACCAATCTTTGTTCTTGCTCTCTTTACAATGGGTTACTTTAACTATTAGAAGTATCTTTATTTAAGGCACAAGATTTACACTAAAAACTAAAAAAACCTAATGAATCCCCGATTTCAGTGGAACCACTACAACAATATTTCAAACGGATTTGAATTGAATAAATAAAATACAACTGTTGATAAGCTCAGTTTAAACATGACTGTTTAATTGAAATTAAAAACAAATACAATAATTCAAATTATCCATATTTGTGGATTATGGCTTCCAGTGTTCACAATGGTATAAAGATATTTAGTTTTTAGGACACAAATAAAGTAAAAAGTACTAAGTCATCAGTATTATAAATAATAATTAATATTTCCTGCCTTACACTGAGTCACGAAATGTCAGAAAACTTAATTTTTCTACTTATTAGGATATTAAAAATATATTATTTTTATTATTAATCATCTATCTAACGTTCAATCTATTGAAAGTTATCAAACCAAACCTTCTGTATTGATATCTATAAACAATAATTATTAAAAACCTATCGAAGTCATGGATCTACTATAATTATAATCTCTACATCTGGCCGAATATTTTTTCTGAAACTAAATAACACTGATCGATTACCGCTGCTACAATAAAAACTAATAAACCTGAATAACTCTACCTTATTGAATGTCATGAAATAGGAAACATAAAGAGTTGTAATGTAAACATCTGCTGCATTGAAAGTAATGTAAGTAAATAAGATATCAATCACTGGAAAGTGAACTCGCTTAAAAGTTTGTAGAAACGATTTCGAACCAAGTATTTTTGTCCGAAGATTAATGGTACTAATCAAGTTGATACTTTGAGATTTGTTCAAGGTGATTAGCAGGGATTCAAAATCTAATCTACTAAAATTTATTGCATACATATTAATCAAACACCACAAAGTTGATTTCTGTTCGAAAATGAACAGCGATTACATTATCCTTATCTTATTGTGGTATTTTTCCCAGCTCTTTTTCTTACTTCAATGACATTATTTTTAATTCTTTCAAATTCATAATTTCATTCTTAACTGATTGATCTCAACTCTTGTTATCATTAGATTGCATTAAGCTGTTCTATTGTGTAATCGGTCAAATTTTTGTTTGCAATCTTGTCTTTTTAAAATCTAATTAACATAAATTGAATCTTCAATCAATGACATATCATATTTCAATGCTAAACAACTTTGTTTGTACGAGTTTGTTAACTTCCGTGTATGATTTAAATTTTTAAAAAACTGATGAGAAACTAACAAAATGAAATGAATCCATGTTATTCTGGTTAGGTTGTTGCATTTTTTCTCTTCAAGTTTATAAAGGAAGTTATGTAAATGAAAGAAATACTTGTTTCAAAATGAAGAAGTCTTAGTAAAAAAATGTTACTAGTTGAGTTCGTGAGTCTATCTAAGCTACGCCACCATTAAAAGCCTGGAAGCACTGAGCAGACGTGCTTCTAGGTTTTCAACGGTAGTGTAGCTTAGATAGACTCATGAATTCAGCCATTAACATTACTACAATCTCTACAAATCCCCATTCTGATAAAAAAGTGCCAACTAAAATGAATGACCTGGATAGTTTATGGGTCATAAACCATATGACTGATTTTAGTATGATCACTGTCCAATATTTTACAATAATGATTAGTCTCAAAAATACAGAAAAATTCAAATGTCCTTTTACAAATTTTAGCAAGTAGTGAAGGAGAACACAGGTGAGGACAACCGAATTATATTTATCACAAATTTACAGAGTTACTTGGTAAAATAGAAAGACCATACTATAATACCTAATTTACAAAATGCTCAATAATTGTCTCGAATTTCCTTGTTCTTGCATTTCTATACTAATCGCTTTCTATTCCCGTTCTTCCTTTCTTCATCTTCCTAATCTTCTGCTCCCAAACATTACATTCCTGACTCGCGTTATATACTACTTATGTCAATATAAGTAGCACGCACCACAATATCACGTGGTGCAAATTAAACAACAAAAGTATGGGTGACCTTAACTTGATAACAATGGGAAGATACAAAACAAAAACAATCAACAATCAAAACTTACATTATTACTACCAAGTTGAAATGTTTCTGGTGAATAATGAAGTGAATTCAGAATTTCATGAACAATCTTTAATGTCGAGAAAAATAATAAAAAGAAACAAATGATCAACAATTTTCTATGTAGTGTTGTATTCATGAAAATGGAAATTGATGAACCTATAAGATTATAGAAAGCTTGTTCATTAATTGTAGAAAATATTACAGAACTACTAAAATTTTTAACCTTATAAATATTTTTAAAGTTGATTTATTTTCAACTATTTTCCTCAGAAAAAACGAGTCAGTTTATCAATGTCCCTTTTAAGAGTTGATCAAGTTAGTCTCTATTCTTTAAATCACGTCATATTTATCAATTTTAAGCAGCTGAATAATAAAATACGAGTAGGCTTTATTTATTCCCCTTTCATTTCCAGTATGACACAGGCTAACTGTTAATGAATCTTGTACTAAGCATAAAAATGCAATAACCGATATCTGGTTGATTCGTCAGTACCACATACTGTAATCAACTTTCGTTTGTTAAGATTATTATATTTCAAAAAGCCAATATGGAAAACACATCAAAGAAACTTGAAACACCAAAAACGAAGATGGTAAAAAAATTCAGTGGTATAGAACGGTCTGAATTTTGAATCGTGTTGCATTCGTTGTGATGTAGAGGTGTATATTTATGCTTATTACCTAGAACGCTCAGGAATTTACGTTTACTAACAACAACTGCAAACACTAATATCTTCAGTATAGAAATACTTCATAATTTTGAAAGCGGGCATGAAGGTAGCTATTTTATTAATATGCTTTTTTAATGTTGAAAATACTTAGTGAAAATCTAATCTCTAACTACTGAGCATCCATAATAAGACAGTGTTTAATAAAACAGTATGATAATTAATTATCAAAAGATCACTTGAACAAAGAGGTTGAATAAAAAATTAGCCAGTAGAATCAAACCCTGAATTTAAATTGAGCATCAGAAGAGAATTATCGAGAGAAATGTAATTAAATAGATATTAAGATTGTACTATAGTATCACATTATCAAGCAAGACTATAACGGAACAATGAGTTTATACATAATTAGACAAGATAATAGAATTATCAACACAGGAAAAAAAAGAGAAAATGAATGAGAAATACATTTGTTTGTGCAATTTAACACTTACGGCTTTATTCAATGATTCATTCTGTTTTAATTCTCTTATTTTCGAACTATTTGGTAATAATGAAACAAATCGATTACAAAATTCTTTCAGAGATAATCTATCCGGATAACTTTGTTTAACCGCTTGTAGAGTATTAATTAATTCAATACCACGAATTTGTGCACGTATTAGATTGACACATATACGTGCTGGACTAAATACTAAATTTTTATTTGGATAACGTTTCACTAATTCAGATAAATATGAGTTGGATGTATTATGATTAACGTCTTCATTATTAGTATGATTGTCGTTATCTGCAAGACGATCATTAGAGGGATAATTTGTTTGTATTAATTGATTAAGAGGTATTTCTTCATTTAATTCACATAGACCAGCTGTAGATACAGGTAGAAAACAGTGAATCCAATGCATACCACTTGGTGGACCACCGTCATTAAAACCGGATCCAGGATCATTTGGATTATATGAAGCATTGTGTGCAGCACAGTCATATAAAGAACGTGTTAATGTATCCTAAAAAGAAAAAAAACATTGACGAAGAACCTTTTCAACATAAAATTAGTTGAAGGAATATCTTGATAAAATAATTTCAAAGTCTAATTAAATAACAAAATATCAGCACAATGGTTTTAAAGATTATAAGTGTGTTTTTTCACAATCCTTACAAAGTATCTTATTTTAAATATTGATTAGAATATAAATGCACAGTTATGACAAAAACACAAGACATAGTATTTACTTATATAGGGAAACACAAAATACAAAAATTATAATTGAAATAATTACGATTTTCAACTAGTCCATTTGGTGAGACCGTAATTTATAGAGAATCTATGAACAAGGCTTAAGTGATCTTGAGAATGTTCACGTACTACTTAGTATTAATTGAGGGTTATAAACCAGTGCGAGGAATGAGAGATATGATTTACAGTGGATGGTTAGAGTTACGAATTAGATTTAGGGTTTTATCACGAAATCACATCAGCTAAAATGTAAAAAAAAAACATTTAGCCAAATAGATGAATGAATTTCGCGTCAAAACCCAAGAACCATTATCTTAAATCTGATTGGCTCGTCCATAAATTGTAGTCTCGCCGTCTATACAAATTGATTATTTACACATGTTGATTCAGTGTGTAGAAAGACTATGAGTTATTTAGCGTGAAGCATTTCGACCATTACATGTTTACGATTGCGTATGTATTACTATAGTATTGTTAATAAGGTTTATTGAACATGTGAAGCGTCTCACGACGAATAGAGACAACTAATCTTTTTATTCATTATAAGACTTAAAATATAATAGAGGGAAATTAAACTTGTCGAATTTATGTTGATTAACAATAGACAGATCGTGAGTTGTAATGTTAAATTATAAGTTAATGGTTATAAATGAAATTGTCGTAGGAATTATGTTATTTGAAGTACGTTCGATAATTCTGGTTTTGATTATTTTCTTGTCAGATATCGGACCAGTATCAGGCAAACGAAGCGTTGAAATTACTTAAATTTCAATCACTGAAATAATAATTTATAGATTTTATTTCTTACGACATATCGTTTCCAGAGATCAAGTTCCCTGCCGAAAATCACTAACAACAATACTGATTTATGATATGGGGTCTGAATACGTATTTTTCTAACGAATAATTTATATGGGAGAAATGAGTAAGGTGATTGGAAAAATATTTTGTTTTAGCAAGTATAAAAGTTAATATGATTGACATACTATAGATATAACAACACTCAATATGAGATATATGTAAAACCACAAAATATGTCCACAGAAAACATGTCAGAATAACGAAATGAAAAATCCACGAAAAGGAAACAGATCAATAATAGTTGAAATCATTAATTGATCTAAGCACTGAAAGGCCGTTTCTTCCTAACATAGGACTCCTCAGCAGTTTGCATCCACGATCCCATGCTCGTGACTCGAATTCAAGAACTTCGGTCTCGCATGCGAATGCTTAAACTCCAGATCACTGAACCAACATCCAGTATCTAACTTTAATCAATCCATGATATTGAACAACCTGTCATTCATTGCCTGAGATAGATATCTGTCGGCTCAGAGGTTTAGAGTTTAAACGCTGGAGCACAAGACGGAGGGTCCGGGGTGTGTGAACGTGGATGCACACTGCTGAGGGGTCCCATACTTATACGGGACGGTCATTCTGTGCTTTCAGATTTTCAACGGTGATATAGCTTAGAATGACACTTTATTTCAACTATGAAAACACCAAAATCTCCATAATCCCCATACAAATAAAAAATAGTTACTTTGGAGTGTTTCGTTTAATCGAAAAAAGATCAAAGGAGTAAAAGCATTTGAAGTTCGGCTAGGTACTGCCTACAAAATTATGAAATATATTTTCAAATACCTTATTTATTGTAGTTAAAATGGAACTAATCGTCTTATCAGGGAATATTGAAATCTAGAAATAATTCATGGACAAGATTTTTGAAGCAGGTTAAATTAATTTTGATGTGTTTTTGGCTACTTAATAATAGTGAGTAGATCAAGCATAAATCTCGATTTAATGGGTTAAATGAACTATTAATATCAATGTAATGAGTTTCATTTTATTTGAGACTCATAGGTTGGATATACCTTTATCCATATGTTAACTCTTACATCGACACTAAAACAGAACATTTTAATTTAAGCACCATGTTACATTCCATATATTGAAATAAAAGTAAAAAAAAGTCAAATAATTCACAAGAAACTTTTATAACAATCAAATTGCAACGACTTAGAAAAATAGCAATACCAATCTTCAAAATGAATACTATAAATTGCTTTTCTAAGAAAAGAATCTATCGGTTTGATATTTTATTCTGATGTGTATTGATAAAATAGAGAAAAAAGAAATCATACAATATTATCTGATAAGCTTATTGAGGATCTATGAAACACTGAATTTATTAAGGAAAAGTTTCTCAATAAAGTATTTTGTATAAAAAATATATTAACACGTTAAAAAGAATAAATTCCAACATTAACAAAAAGTAGTAAAAACTACAAAGCACCCGATTCATGAGTGTGTATTGCTAAGAAGACCCAGGCCAGTAAGATAAAGGATGTCAAGTGCTTTCTGATTCTGGAAATGGTTCTACCTGTGATCAAAACTACTTTTGAAAGGAACCAATAACATACAGATCGTTAAGATAATCAATTTTTATCAATCACTATTCGATTCGATTAGAAAACAACGGATGATAGAAAGATTGTAAAATGGCGTGGTAGATTTAAACCGATTAGCTACGTTTCAATTTTCTTAACCGGTTACCTCTGAAATTTCATACCTTAGATCATCTTATGTTTAAAGTAACTTTTAAACGAATTAGTTTTTATAATTCATACTTCAAATATAAAAGTATCGTTTTATAAACAAGAAATAGCTATGCTTTTCAGTTATTTGTATTACAAAAACCGTTCATTGAAGGTTCAATTTATTTTCAGTAGTGCTTACTGCTTCACACTTCAATATAAAATACAGTTATCGATCTCACGTTCATATCCATATGTCATTCACTTACGTTCGAATTATTCCATGTATTCAGTCTTTTACTTGAAAATTCAACATCAATGTTATAAAACAGTTACTCTACAAAAATATCCTAATTATGATTGATTATAAATGACTATTTCAAAACTATAAATAAGTTGTTTATTGAAAAAAATCTTATCATATAGAGTATGACAAGAAAACTATTATAGCAAAAAAGAACTTACCATTATAGATTTCACTTCAGAATAAACACCAATATGACTTGAACTATTTGGTAGAAAAGAACTTAAATAATCTTCTTTACAATTTAACACACTGACAAGGTTACTTAAGGATTTACTAGAAGGGATATGAAAAAAAGTGTGGTAAAATAACGTTTAATGGACAAAACATTTTTCAACATGGAGAAGGACAATTTAATAGATTACAATATAAAATACAAATAACGTCATTTATTAAAACTGCATAGAATGGTACTTAAAGTTATTTATGTAACTTCAATAAATGATATCGTCAAAAAGACCATTTTATTTGCTACAATATTTTTTATTTCTTTTTCAATGAGGTGCAGTGAGTTCCAAGAAAGAAAATACTAATTACTACAGTTTGTGCTCAGAATACATAGCATTGATTGCAAAGTGTAAATCAGTGTAGTTTACATTCAAGTTAAGAACTGAATAGAATAAAAGTTATCATTTATAACATCGGTAAAAACAATATGTCAAACTCATTTCAATTAACTCTCACACAACATTCATTAAATAAGAGGGTGGGGCGGAAGAAAAACATGTAAATTATGTTGAATAGAAAGGGGCTGATGATGTAATTGCAGGTGAAGTAAGTGTGACACTGAACACATATTTCCTAAAACAACATCAATTTTAATATTATTTAATTAGTATGGCTCAAAACAAAAGACGATGACTTTATTTAATTAATCGTCTTTCTTCCACCAGATTTTAATATCAGCAAGCATCACGAATCGAGGTAAACAGTGGTTGAATGTATGTAATGCATCAGTGGTAATTAGATCGTTTAATGACATAGATGAATAATAGAGTTTGAATTTGTTCACGACTAGTTGGGTTTATTTATGAGTGTGCATCGTTTGAAGAATTATGATCTTAAGTGTTTGCTACATTTGACAGAAGCAAAAGGAGTATGAATATTTTCAAGAAAAAATCTCAGAGGCACAGCCTCGTTTTTATGTTTGGGAAACCCTAAACACAAAAACTCCGAAGAGATTATTAATAGGATTAAACAATTAACGCATCACGATAAATGTAAAATATCAAACTGAATATGAATATTTTGATGTACGTACGAAGAGTTGATTAAAAACACCAAAAATTCATTACTCTTCCAATCGATAATAATTTCTTTTAACAATTTCGAATTTTCAGAAAGAGGTTTTGTGGAGATTTTGGTAATTTAATAGTTGAAGTCATGAGTCAATTTAAGTTAGAACATCATGAGAAACCTGGAAAAACTGTACGGCCGTTTCATCCTGATACGAGGCTCCTCAGCAGTGCGCATCCGCAATCCCGCTAACGGAACTAGAATTCAGAACATATCGATCTCGCGCGTGAACGCCTATCGTCTACCGAGCTGGCCGGCATCCGACAGTGTTGATGTCTAACTTCAACCAATCCACGAAATTGAGCCACCGCCTACCATTCTCTTCAGCGAGTTACTATCTCACAACAAACCTGGCTTTGAATTTCAACTCTTACAACATTTTACTCTCAAACAAAAATAAGCCAATTTTTTTCACCAAACTAATCACACATTAAATTATCGTAAATAAAAAGTATAATTACAAAATGAAATACAATTCATCTGAAAGTGTGAATCCAACTATATAGAAAGATGACAATCTACACTACTTAATCACAAACACACACACATATATATAAGCAACTCTTTCGCTAGAATACCAGTTAGTAAATAATCAGTAACCACAGTTTGTTTTCTAGCAAATAACATTTGCAGGCGGTGGGTGGTATGACTAAAACATAATATTTCTCAATATAAATATTGAGTGATACATGAAACATGTGATGATGTGCAGACAAACAAATACACATCCCTGCAACCTAGAATCTGTTTACATTGTTCTACATTTACACAAAAAGCAAATATAAAATTTTATGTTTAGTCTATTGATTTTATTGACCTATAAATTTCATAACCTGATTAACATGTCACCATGTCATACAGTGAGCATAATAGATAAAGATGTGAAACTTTGCAGAAAACAAGATACCGGTAGTAAGGACAGAATGCTGACTACATTGAGATATACAAATATTAAAAGAAAACCCTCAAAACGAAACTGGAACAGCCTAATGAATCATGATTTCAGCAAACTAACTTTTATTAAATTAAGATGCATGTTTCAAAGGTAGTTTGCCGAAGTTATTAAGTTACATTTATCCTGTATGATACGGTCCGATCAGAACTAAAGTCTTTTCAATAATCTCACTTGGAAAACGAAAGAGATTCGTGACAAAATACGTTTAAAATCAAGTACACGAGTGTACTGTGAATTCCGAACTTATTCTAAATAGTATTATTGTTTTAAGGTCGACTCACGTTGAGGTAAGAACTTTTTGTAAATTCACTAATAGTTCAAAGAAAAATATACTTTTATGGTATATAAATGTTCACAGGAATTAATACTTGAAATTTTTGACACTTTTACCAACGTATATTCAATGAGTCAATAATAACTAAAATAATTATAATATTAAAAAGCAGAACCAATAAATTATCATTACTACTTACACTGAAGATTGTTCTAAGAAATTTATAAGTTTTTTAAGACTAGCTGATGATCGATGATAAGGTGCGAACCAACTCCAATTCGGTGCATATTCAATTGGAGTAGTGGATAAATTATGATTTAATACAAACGATGATCCATTACGTTTGAATCGACGAATACTTCGTAAATCTGTTTAACAAAGAATTTTTAACATCAGTATAGGTTTTTGTAGAGATTATAGAACTCTAATGGGTTTTAAGTCACCAAATGATCATGGTTAGACTGCCAGTGGAAGTCTGGAAGTATCAGACAGCCGTTTCGATTTACTATGGGACTCCTCGACAGTACGCATCCACGACCCTACACTCTGGAATAGAAACCAGGACCTTCAGCTTCGCGAGCGAACGCTTAACTCCTATAGGATTAACGACTAACTTCAACCAATAGACAACATTATGCGACCATCTTCTATTGCTTGAGGTGAAAACGATTAAACTTCACTGGTCGTGGATGTCTACTTCTGAGGAGACCCATACTAGCATGAAACGACCATCCAGTGTTTCAATACTTCCAATGACATGCCTATTGAAATCAGTTTGTAATCTATAATCTGCGTAAAATGTTTAAATTCAAAATAAACAACGCAAAGTAAGAAAAATTTAATCATGTTGAGGAAAACAAACGTGTTAAAGTATTTGAAGATAAATCATTCGAAGAAATGACATCATTTGAATATACGATAACTACTAAAGCGTAACAATTAATCTGTTAATTAGGATATTCATGAATTCAAATGCTGAGTTGAACAAAGAAATAACTTTTAAGTGCTATTATAAACAGGATATCATACTGATAACCTATCAAATATGATTATAACTATATGTACAAGGCAGCCTGATTGAATATCTGGGCTACCCATTCCTGTCATCTGGATATTTCAGCAAGTTATCTGCTTTCTTGTTTGTTTTAACACTTTATTAAGCCTATTAGTCTCATAACCTATTCAGGTGCGTTTCTGAAACGTTTATGACATTTTGCTGTACAAGCTACAAAAGATCACAATCACAGACATCGTGGTTGCTGGAAATATGCATCGAAAAGAATATACATTATTCAGATGTCGATTCCTGAACTGCTAACATCTAACTAACGACCACTCCATATTTATCGCAAGGGTCCGTCAAGAAATAAGAAAAGGAAACTTGTTGAAATACTTTAAGCTGAGAATTCTATATTGTAACAAAAATATAATATTGAATCAAGCCACTAATAGTAATATGATGTATTATAACTGTATGAATCAGTCAACTAGAACATTTATTTCATTTGGACACTATGAAAAATGAAATCCAAAAAAGAGTCTTAATTGTATCAACTCAGAAATGTATAAATAACTTGAATATATTTTTGTAAAACATCTTTAAAATAAAGAAATTCTATGGTGGTTAACAATAATTTACTAATTTAATCAATAAAAAAAAACGTTGAACATGAATACTACAGATGCAGATATACTCTAGCATTCATAGATTATGAAGGTAGGCATACTTGAAAAAGTTTGCTTAAAATATGGTGGTACCTTAAATGAGATTAATCTGTGACGAATATCAACTGCAAATCAAATATCCATAAATTGCCATTAAGGAAAATACATATATATCTATGAAGATTTTAATAAGTAATTACCTCGATTTTCATACAATTTTCGCTGTGTTTGATACATTTGACTGAGTGTGTCATATAAATGAGAAAATTCACCGTTTTGAGCAACTGAATCCAACAGGCAAAATAAACCAGGGAACATTGTATTATTACATACATCATTATTAGTTGTAGTTAGATTTTTAATTGGAAAAGAAGTTGGAGTCTAAATGAAAATAAAAACAAAAGAAATTTAGCAAAATCATCAACCATTAAAACTTTTATATGTTACAATTAATCCCTCGATATTATGTGGTAATTAAGTACTTGTTAATATACTAAAAAGCAAGGTACCAATAAATAAGTAATTGATTAAATTACTAAAAAGGAATAGATATACATGCATTATAATTTGAATGACATAAATTATATGGTGTGGTGTAAAAATAAAAGTTTAAACATCTCTACTACCGCTTATACTTACAATCATCATGCACTTACAACTAAGAAACATAGAGAGGTAACTCGTGCTAATGGGTGATGGCACGCTAATATCATGAATTAACTAAAGTTAGAAAGGTAAACCGCTCTAAGCTAACTCAAGGGTTCAAAGGTTAAGTGTTCACCGTAACGTCTTTAGGTTCTGGGTTTGTTCCTTGGAGAAATCATGGATGCGTACGGCTGAGAAGTCACATACTACGACGAAACAGCCATCTATTTTTTTTTCATGATTTTCAATAGTTATCCAACAAAAGTTAGCGTAAGAAGTGAATCATCAAATATTTTGTGATAGTCACATACATTCAACAGTCTCTAAACATAAAGATGGGGGGACCTTACAAATAAAGATTAAATACTTTTCACCGACATTATAACACAACCTCAATAACCTTTGAAAATTTAGAGACAATTTGCGAATTATTATGACAACATTCATTTATACGCCTACTTCCATATGAATAATTTAACTGAATTGATTGCCGAAAATTTGACGTGTTCTAGGTGAATCAATTAAAAACTTCACAGCTCCCATCATGAACAATTATACATACATACTTCTTGTTGGTCGAAATAATCAATTCGTGAGTTTTAGGTAATAGATATTAAAAATGCAAGGAGACCACTACTACTTTTAACGTATCAACATAACACAGTTAAAATATTCTCCATTTAAAGAAATCTTATAATTAAAAACACTAATCTTAAAGAGAAAAACAAAACGTTTAGTATATAAACTATCAATGTTATGTAGAGATATTAAAGTGTTTTCTATTTAGACGACAATTCGTGAACTGTAATAACATTTCATGAAAATTTATTGGCGTAATATTTTGGAATAAAGAAGTGATATTTTAATAGAAGAAAAAATAGATAACAACGAGCTCAATTAAATGTTCATTTTCCAATACCAAATCAGAAGTGTCTAAACATGTTTTAGTAAGACTGTTTTTATTCTGTAAATGATAGTAAATCGCTCTTCTTTTAACATTAGGTGATTTTAACATCTTAGTGACTTTGCAAATTAAAATTTAATTACATAATTTAAAGTGATACATAAAACCATCAGGACGATCAGCAGAATTTGTATTCGTTCCTACGTACACTTCATCTAACATCATACACTAAAGTAGATGATAATGAAAATCATATTGATGATTGCCTATTTAACGTGGAAATTACTAGTTTAATCATTTAACATATTTTTCAGTCAATGAATACAGAGACCGACTGTGATTGAAACATCAATTAGAACAGAAAAAACATAAAAAACGAAACAGTAAAACGTTTTTACTTATTATTTTATTACTGAACAAATACATACTGTTGAAATTTCATTATGTAGTATTTGAAACCAAAAAAAGAGCTTACATGAAACAAAACTAAATCTTATACAGATTACCTGACCTCTCCCCTTATTTAAAAACAAAATTAATAGAAAATATACCCCCAAGTGACCAACCAATTAAACATAAACTATATTTCTTATCTCTAAAAAAATAAAGCGAATCAATAATCAAATGAATATAAACTTTTTCATTGTCGTCAATTACATTCACTTCAAAAGAAAAAAAAATCAATTTATTGAAATACAACGCTGAAAGTGATTTTTGTTTAGTTCTATTTTTTTGATTTTCTTAGAAACAAAATTTTGTTTATCATAAATAGTTCGTTTTTAGTTAGAAAAAGAAAAGAATTGATACAAATGAAATGAATGAATGAATGAAGAAGAACAAAATAAAAAAAACTTTCACATCTATCATAATCATTTTTATGTTAGTTATAACAATAAAAAGATTCTGGAAAAATTTTTGAAAAAAATTTATTTAACATTGAATGTAATTTTATTTAATTTCCATTACTTTTTGCCGGTACTTTTGAAGAACATTCCACAGAATATGTCGTCACTGAAATATGTTTTAAATAATGACATTTTAATAAATGAAATAATACATGACGAAATTTTTTAATACGTACAGCATAAATAAAAATATTACATGATGTTTGAATAAATATTAAATGCCAAAAAATATCAGCAATATTATAAACAAGTCGAAGTGGTCCACGTAATTCATTTGGATCAGTTAATATTGATGGTAAAATAAATGAAATAATATAAGCAATACTTTGTGGTAATGATGCAATTAATGTAGTTACACATAATATAACTAAAACAATTGATGCAGATAATTCTTTTCTCTCTTCTAAATTATTAATAAATTTACGTCGATTATTTAATAATTTACGTAATTTGATCATAAATGCAATATTAAAACCGATCACAAATAAAAATTGGATTAAACAAGAATCTGATGCAAAAGCATGATATATATTCAAGAATAAATCATTATAATTTAACCAACAAATTAATAAATTATTTGATAAATGCCAACCAACTACTATACCGTATGGTAACATTAATAAACAACTAATAATAATAATTAAACCAATTAAATACCATGCATAACGTTGTGGTATTTTACTATATTTCACAGGCATATAAACACATAAACAACGATCTATAGCCATTAACAATAATAAATTACCACCAAGTGTACATGAGAATGAATATGCAAATCTATGAAAACGACATAGATTTTCTGAAATATTAAATGTAAAAAGATATACATTTCCTAATGTAGCATATGGTAAACCTTTTGATGGAAATACCCATAACCAACCGAATAATATTTGTGTCAGTGCATCGGTTATCGCTAAAGCACCCATATAAATCATTTGTCTTGATGAATTTGGAATTAGACAGATAAATATTACTGCTATCAATATATTACTAATAATACCAAATGTAGAATAAATTGGGAATATATATGCAGATAGAAATCCTAATATACTTGATGTAATGCACATCACATAATCATTGGATTGACCACTGTAGAAATTTTCACAATCTTCAAGTAAATCCCATGGTGAATCAACAAATAACCAATCGGATCGATTAACCATTTGTTAAACTGATAATGATGATGATTAAGAGCAGACTTCAAATTTTACAATAAAACTTTATCCTATTTTTTTCTTCCAAAAATAAGTTGAAGACATTCCGCAGGTAGCATCAAAACGTCGTTAATTTGAGAAGGAAATAATTGGAACCTAATCTCGAATTTCAAAAATAACCAAGCATATGTCATATATATATATATATATATATATATATATATATATATATATTACCCACCCATTCTCCGAATATTTACTTGGTAAGTAATGCAGAAAATAAGGGTCAGTACATATAGTGAAACACAAATATAATCCATTCAACCCCCCTGTCAAAGTCCTTTTTGTCATTTGATCTTCAACAAAGGTGAGGAATACAATTGAGAAGCTCAAAAATAAAAAAAATTACGCCCTATGTAACAAACTGATATACAATATTGCACACGTGGACTTTTATCTATATATGTATAGTTGATATTTATAAAACAATCCTCTTATTCATAAACAAGTACACAGGTATACACACATGGAGATTCAAAAAGATAGTAATAATACTTAAAATACAATTAAAGTACAAACTGGGGACGTATTGAATTCGGAACAGTTAAATCGTAAACAAATGTTTAAATTAAAATAAATCATAAGTTAACGCCAACAGTAATTTTATTGATAACAATAAATAAGCGCGCATATCTATATATGCATGTATTTGCTTGTAAGGGGATTGGTTGGTGGTAGCCAGTTGAGTGGGGTAAATAACACGGGATTATCCAATAATTTCATTAAAATTGAATCATTCACTATTTACAACACATCATAAAACTAGTACGAGAGAGGAGAGAGAACACAGTGAACTACCATATGTATGCTTTAAATAATTAATTACGTTTCAATGAAACAGAATTATGATGAAACATGAATGATGATAGTAACAGCGATAAATAAAATGACACCATTTTAAATAACAATAAGAAATGAAGAAAAGCAATAACTAATAAAGTTGAATTGCCATTATTTCACAAGTTATATATGTGTAGAATGAAAAAAGATTCAACCATTCCATATGAATGATAAAAGTTATTTTAAAAAAGAAATTTATACTAAATTGTGAATGGAGCCGAAAACAAATATCGAAAATAGTGTAATAGGTTTTAGGTCAAATAACAATTGTTTTTCTTATATGTTTTCTAAGGACAAAGACTTCAATCGACAGTTATATTCATTAATGATAACAGTAATAATAATAATAATAATAATAATAATAATAATAATCGTCATGGGTAGAAGAAAAAAAGTATAACGAATATTTCAAATGAATGTAGTATAGAAAAAAATTTAGGTCAATTACAGAAAATAATAATAACTATCACTGAACAAGTACATTATAATGTACGGACGATAAGAGATTGATTACTAAAATTCACTGAAAAACAATATACATATTCCAATATTTTTTCACAGTCTTGTAATAATACAGCTGAACAGAACAATACTGACAACATTATACGATTATTAAACAAATATACTATGAATAAGAAAAACAATTACATAATACATTCATTTTTATGTACTTATTATTTTAGGAAGTTTGTGAAGATTGATGAATTTTTTTATTTCCAATGAAAAACAGATCTTAGAAAGATAACTATTGAAAATATACAGGGTACAACAAGGTGCACTATTGAATATTGATTACATTTAAAAATGTAAACCAATATGTATCAGTTCAGTAGTCTGAAGGGTAAGCACTCAGCGATAGGCTTTATATGTTTTGGGCTTCAGTACCTGGTGAGATAGTTCATGAGTATACACTGCTATGGAGTTTCATATTAGTTGTCCATTGTAAGTTTTTAATGGCTTTTTTAACGAAAGTCAATTCGTGATGTAAAACATACAGAAAAAATATCAAGCAAATGACCTACCTCAGACAATGTAGTATTGTCAATAAAATTTAAAATATTCTTTGTACGACAAAAATTTTTATATGGAATAGGTGAAGTTAGACCATCCTAACAAAAAAAAGAAAGAGAAAAGAAATTATTTAGTAAGGAATTTTTGTCGAAGGAAATAGCAAGCAAAGAAAAACATTGAAGAAAGTCGTATGAAGTTTCGGTAAATTTTTTGTTGTGGCTAACACTGGTATTCAGGATTCGTGTTACACCTAATTGCGAAAATAGGATGTACTTAAACTTGCACCAATATTTACACTATTCAGCAAGACCAGCGTAATAAATTAGGCCTTGATTAGCAAAACAATTTATTGTGTAGTGTAAATCACACTGTATTTGTAAAATATGGAGGCGATACATTAAATACTCTATATGCAAATTTTCCTTTAGTTGTCTCTTACGAACTCCAGAGCTTCTGCTTTCCTGTTTTTATTTTGATTGCTTTCTGGTTCCCTTCCTCTTCATTTTCCTCTTATGTACGTAAGAATTCTACTTTCGATTCCTGACACACTACTTATATTTGCCTGTACAAGTAGAGGGTGATGAAATGTAGTCTTGAATATCAATAACAGGAAAACATAAACACCAACTAATAATTAAACGAAATGCTTCAGAATACTTCAGTTCATAAATCTGGGTGTCAATTTAGGAGAATTGAAAAAGGGCAATCAGTTCGAAGAATTATAAAATTCAATTATGACATATCAGCAAACTACCTAAACTTCATACACATAAATCTTAGTCATTCAAAAGGATGTAACGTAGAACTTGGCACATATATTCATTGGTGCGATTTTCCGCAACTCATCCGTACAACTAGATTCCAGAGTAGTATGAGTAAACAATATTAGTAATAATGTAAAATATGAGGTACAGATAATATGATTCAAGAAGACAAAATAAATTCGTAGCATTAAAAACATTTTTATAGTAAATAAGAGACCTAGAATCTAAGGAAAGATAAAGAGTAAATGTACCTGTGCCACTGATAACGATTATGATCTATGTCACCCAGGGTTTCTGATCATTAGTTAAGATAGCCATGCGAATCACAACCAGGTGGTCAACACTTACACATATGAGTCAGTTCAACAGTCAAAGACTCCATGGACTGATTCTAGGTTTTCATTTAACTACTCCTAGCTTACTTTTAACCTACTGCTGCACTACCCAGCATCGTTCGTCGAAGGTAGGTGGTGGTAGGGCATATACTACACATTTCCCTGTCACATCAGTCGACGAAAATTCTCTAACTCATTAAGCTATTTGTCATTTTCTCCTAGTACTCGATGCTTAATCTCAGCATTTTTCATTCGGTGATCCCAGAATACACAACTAATACATCGATCAAATATCCTTTATTTTTAACAAACACATTCCCAAGCCACTATATATATCCATATATATAAACGAGTTCTGGATATCTAAGAAAATTAAGAAGGTGTGTTATAGGACCTAACTAATCCACACAAACCTGAAAATATTACAAAAAAAGTATTGCTTAAAAGGTGTCGCTATTATAAAAAGACTTATGAAACGCGTTTTTACCTTTGTACTAAAATATAAGACATCGAAGTTTGACTTTTGATAATTTACAATCCGCTTTAGATTTTCAGAAATCATTAATCCCAAGAATACTGTTTTTTGGTCGCCATGTTTTGTAAGTAGTATTTCAAGGTAATACAGATAGATTGATCTCAGACTTACAAGAATGGAAAACGATTAAAACGTAATACAATAAAGACTAGCTTAGTTTACCATTAAAAACAACGCGTTTGTTCTTAAAGTGCGATTCATGTATTGTTAGGGATTTCATGAATTGTTGGTCTACCAAGGTTAATACAACTCTCAAGGCAAGTGAAGGAGTAAACAATCCAACATATTTGGCTTATGAAAAGCTAGCAATCGTAAAAACTTGGCTAAATTATTTCCTTCATTAAATGGAAAATGAAATTCCAAAGGCTTAGGCGTTTTGCACGTCCTGAAGATTATGAATTGGTAAATGCCCCAAATTTCAAAAAGTAAATGTTCTGAACTAGCAAAATATAGACTTAAAATGTTATTTCTTCTCACTTCTAGTTTATGAAGTCTAAATTACTTAGGACGAAGATGGTTCAGCAATATCAGGAATCGATTGAAGTTCAAAAAATAGTACACTGGATGCCGACTTCGTTGTCTAAAACCAAAGTGTTTGGCTCTATGTCTGAAAAACTTTGGCTCGATCTCTGATCAGATCGTGATGTTTACTGTTGAGAAGTCTTACAATAGAACGAAAGAACTGTCTAGTGCTTTCTGACTATCAATGACTGTTCGGCTAAAATTAGTTTGTGACGCAAACCACAAGAAATAGAAACTGTGGAATATGCTGTAATCTAATATTCTAATCAACGGAATTAATGTTCCCACTCAAAACATTTGGACATCAGGCCAAGGAGCGTAACCACAAACTTAAAATCAATCGTTTCTGATGGTCAACACAATTAATTATTATCCCATTAGAATAATTAAAATTTATTTTATCACCTACATGTTTCAAACGTTGTTCATCCAGCAGAATATTACTATCGAAATAAAGTTGATTAAAGCATTCATAAGCATAATTAAAAATTAAATCGGTGAAATTTCCAGTTTTATGCATCTCATTACTTTCCGATGATAGTTTTGCTGTTGGTGGTGATATTGATGAAGATGGTGATATAATCGATGTTGTAGAATATGGTATTTGAAATCCAACTGGATCAACTAGAATTAATTGAGCTACAACATTAAATTGACTAGATAAATCTGATTTCGGTGTAGACAAACAACTAGAAGAGAAAAACAAAATAATTGAGTAAAATTAATGAGACGTTAATAGTAATAAATGATAGCTTTATTCAATGCTATGAACCTTAACAGTATACAAGTTTGTGGAGGTTTTTAACCATTTATATCACGGACTACCTGCTTCGGTCTGGGCACCCGAGCAGTATCACAGCCCTCACACAAATCGAATGATTTATGTGGCGCATATCTACTTGGTGCCTCCTTGTACCAATGTTTATGTGTTTAAGTAAATAAATATCACGAAACGACCTTATGTGGACATCCACTGAAAAGTGAAAAGCAATGGACACCAGTTTCATCTTCGTACGAGACTTCTCAGTAGTACACATCTACCACCCAACCACAAGGAATTGAACCCAGGACATTTAGTTAATCGTACGAGAGCATAATCTCCAGACCAATCAACTGAGATTATGTGGTCTATAAGTCTAACATCAACAATTTCGCAATACTTCGTGATCATTTTCGATTATTCTTGCCAGGTAACCGCCTCACATATTTGAATACAACTAGACAATGCTACTTACAAGAAATCAGAAAAATATTTCTCAAAATTAGCCGCCAGTGAGGGTATTCTAGAGATTAAGCGTTTGATTGCGAAACCAAAGGTATTGGGTTCAATGACCGGTGGGATCGTAAATGTGCACGACCGAAAAGTGCTATAGTGAAATGAAGTATTTGTTAGTGCATGTCGATTTTTAATGGATTTCGAAATTAGGTTAGTTCGTGATATCAATAATTATAAAATTCGCTACATTAACCAACTCTCAGTAGCGAGTGTGCAATGTTGCTCCAAACGTAATAAATAATATAGACAAAATAGGCTAGTGGTACATTCAAATATATTGCAGTTAAACTGAACACAATTTATTGAAGCACGGTTTAAACGTTTGCAAGAGTTATGCACTTTATCCTAATGAATTAGATATTTACTACCAAATTCACTAGATGACTTTAAGCAACTCTAGTGGATATTGGAATTTAGCAACTGAACGCCTAAAGACACTGTCAAATCAATAAAAATTGGAATCAGTGAATATTTTTGTAAGATAAATTCACAATTTGTGTCTTTACTTAATGTCGTTTTCCTGAGGTGAAAATAAACTTTTGAAAAGACGTCATGTTCATGCAATTTATTCTTTATAAAATATTCCTTTCTGCCATAACACTCATCGAGCCTTATTCAGAATTTCAGACTGAGTTCAAACTTGGACAGTGACTTCGAAGATATATTCACTTTCTCTGAGATTTTATGAATCAGCTTACACTATTTTTCCTATGAGTAACTCGATTTTCTCAATTGTGAGTGTTATATTCAAAATCACCTACCTAGCACCCATTGTGCTATATATATATATATATATATATATATATATATATATATATATAATTTAATGTATCTGTCCCTCGTTTTTTAAAAGTGTACACGCGAAAGAAAGTATACCAGTAATGGTAGTGATTATGTATGAGACTTCTAGTACTTAGCATCGCAACAAGTTCTAAGACTTTTATATTAATGGGTAATTATGTACAGTTAACACACGTAGATATTCAGTTCGAACAAATGTAAAACAGGAATATTAATTGCAAAATTTACACAGTTGAAAAGGTGGCCTGCATATTCGACGAGGTTGCCGAAACCACTATTTTCTATATTAAATTATTATATTCACAAAAGACTTTATATGAATAAATCCACAGCTAGTTATGACAACAGAACAATTGACTTGATATAAACTATTGGAACAATCCCAGTGACTAAACTAATAATTTATTCACAGAACGGATTTCATCAGTCATAATCCAATCAGTATGTGAATATAGAAATATTGAGGGAAATTAGGCCAATTTGCTTCCAAGAGATGACAAATAACTTAGCAATACATATAAAAAGGAATCCTTAGTATAAAATAAACAATTCTTAACGATTTTGTAAAGCGTAACAATAATTTTTAAATAATGTAATTATGCATAATTTGATTGATCTCCACTATGGTTAACCGTCACAACAACTACTTCATGACAAATATCAACAACTTTTTCTATGTAAGTATATCGTATCATTTATTTATAAGTACCTTATTTTTACTAGAAAATAATTCTCGTGCTTTGTTGGAATATATAGCGAAATCAATTGAAAATTGTTGACTGACATCTTACTAAACAATAAACTAACTAGGAATCACAGAATTTAATGCGAACACGCTACTCAGGTTTAGGTACTGAACAAAATACTTAGACTTTTAACACCAGCCAATTCCCTAGTTTAATATATGTGGATAGATCTCAAACTCGAGGTCGTTAAAATGCGTGTAAAATATATAGACTAAGCAAATGTTATGAAAGTATGAATTGAGGTACTCATACAAACAATGCCACCATTAACAAAAGCTTTTTAATTCTTGAGATTACATCCATAAAATATGCCGGTAATTCAGGATAGTAACACCAAGTGAATGATCGTCACAGTACCCGAATATGCATTGTTGAACCTCTGCATTAATAACACGATGTTGCAATTGAATGTCGTCGATCCTTCGGAGAAACCAATGATTGAACACAGAAAGTCATCTGACACTGTCAGCTCTGAGGGATTAGGTTTCGAAATTATGGAGCAGAACCACTCCCACAGAACCATTGCAAACCCAACCCATTACATACAAACTATCATGATGGTGTTAAAGATTGGCATAAGCTTCTCTGGTTTTCAATATATATAAGTTGATGACATCTGCCACACCACGACTAGCAATCATATATCTACCCAGATAAAAGATTTTTTGAACTACTTTTATAAGATCACTACAAGAAGTGCCAGCACAAACTCCTGAATCATGTAAAAGCACCTGGTATTTAAAATGTTAAAAGTACATCCCATGTTCATGGACACTATCTACCAAATGATGGAGTGCGATTTTTACAGCTCGTGTATGATCGCACGGTGAGACAATATCAGGGTCAAAAAGTATTTATCCAGGTGACAGAACACCTACTTCAATCAAGCTGTTTTGCAAATGTTATCAATGACAAGAATAAAGAGAAATGATGATATATGAGACAACCTTGCTTAACTCTACTGTTGAACCGTAACAATAGAAAAATATGTCTGTGAATACTTACTCTATCTCAAACGTTTGTGAACAGACCCCTTAAAGTGTTAATCAACTTCTAATTCACAAAACTAATCATGAGGCTATCAGAGAATATAATCCTACTCAATAAATCAAAGATTGTCATATAAATAAACCAATTGTTGATCTATGTGTTTAAATTTTCCTCAGCAACACATGGTAAACAATAAACTTATAATCATCCATAAATCTCTGCTATTATTACAGTTTTCATTTGTAAATTTATATTTATACAATAACAAAATTATGTACAACAAAGTGATAATTCTACTTAAGCTATTTATTTACTTTAATCATTCACTTTCCATATAAAATCAAAGACGTCAGGTTGGCAATACAATTTTTTTATTAATATTACCTAAATCTAATGAAATAATAATTAGTGGAAATATCCGGTTACGTAAAATATTATTAAATATTTTTCCAAAAAAAATATTTAAAAAAAAATAAAAAATCAATTTCATATAAACAAATAAACATACCGATTAATTAAACTAATTAATATATCTATAATCATATTGTAAAGATCTTGTACAAATGCATGTAAACAAGTTTTAGCAGTCCATTTTATACAATATTGATTATCATTATTATTCTCAATACGATGGTGATGATTATGATAATAATGATTTGTTGTTGGTTTACGAAGTACTGGATAAAAAATAAGTTCATTTAAAGTATCCAATGAACAATGTAGTAAATAAGCAGCATATTGAGCTGATTGATAATTTGTAAAATATAATAAATTTTTTTCATTTAATTCATTACAATATCCAGCACAGCCTAAATGATAAATTACAGCTAATAAACGTGTTATTCCTCCTGTTAACCATTCATTTTTTATATCAAATTGTAATAATTCAGCATCATGACATAATTGTTGCCAAAATTTTTTAGCGGATATTTTATCTTCAGGCTAAATTTTATTTTATTTATTATTTTAAAAAAAAATAAGCAAAACAGTATTATTAGTATGGGGATTTGTGGAGATTGTAGTATTTAACAGTTGAATTTATATGTCGATCAAAACTAGACCACCATTGAAAAACTGAAAGCACTGGACGACCGTTTCGTCCTATTATGGGGCTCCTCAGCAGTGTGCATCCACGATCCCGCACAGGAGACTGGAATGAATAAATTTCTGATATTAGTTAATTATATCAGTTGAAATTAACATTATTAAAAATAAAATATCGACCATTGAAATATGATCAGGAATCTTAAAAATTACAATAATAAAGAAGAAATGAGGAAAGAATAACACATTAGTTAGAACCTTAGTTGCACATTAACGATGTACCTATATTTCCAATGTCCCAATCTTACTAAAGCCGATATTACATATTTAAGTAAACTTGGCAATAACATATTTGATCAGTTTAGTAAGTAAAATTTCACATCCAGGTAGACTAATTCATTTTCACTTGAAAAATCTTAATTTTAAACTATTGTTTTGTTGCGAAGTAGGTTCATAAACCAACTGTAATCATTAATTAATTAATATATAATTAACTGTTATTTATTAAATTTCAACAAATCAATTATAGATAAAGAGATTGTCAATCTATACAGAAAAGTTAATTACTTAATATGACCTGAAAATTATAACGTCGATCAATAATCCAGTCAACTTATGGTATGAACTGGAAGTTCAGTCCCTAAATAAACGAAATAAATATAGTTATCAGTATACGGTTATGGAAATTGTTAAGCTTAGATTGATATTATGAATGGATCAGTGCTAGACCACCATTGAAAACCTGGAAGCACTGGACGGCCGTTTCACCCCAGTGTGGGACTCCTCAGCAATACGCAGTGAGGGATCCTGGATGTGCACCGCTGAAGAGTACCATGCATACTGGGGCGAAAAGGCCGTCCAGTGCTTCCAGATTTTCAATGGTGGTCTAGCACTGATTCATTCATGATGTCAATCTAAAAATAAATATACATAAAGTTTCTTTTGAAATAAATTAGTTTAAATTTATTTTCCTACAAAACAAGATTTTTATTCAATTGCTGCTTAATTATTCAATGCAAAGGAAGTTAACGTCGACAATTCAGTGATCGGTGAAGGTAAACAATGTAGTGAATTTTAGATGAAATTTAACCAGCTTATTTCATGCTTATTTCAATGTAATGATTATATAAATAGTATAATTATCACCAAAGACATACTGACTAAATTCAGTAATCAATTTCAGTAATTGGAATTTTAATTTTTTAAGGTTTATTTCAATGAAAAGATTTGTATAGTTTTGAAATGATTGTTATACAATGATATTAGTTAAGTGATAATAAAAGCCATGGAAAAGTATTGGACAATTGTTCCGACTAAGTTTAAAACTCCTCTGATCAGTTTACATAAATTCACATAGGAGAAATGGTGGGTCAATGGTTAAGGCGTTTATTTCTCAGCTACAAAACCATAGGTTCGAACCCAGCCTCATCTACTTTGTTTTGAGCAACCAGGCATTCGCAATACCTACATAGATACAATGTTGCTTAGAATATAATTACATCAATCTGTATCTGGTAAATGAGTTAGTTAGTGTCCAGGCATCTACCTGAATATTGAAGAAATACTTGCATTATCCGAAGTAATTAAAAAAATCAAAGACGATTCTTAAACTCTAAAAAAAATTTTGATTTCTAAAAACTAGATATAATTTACTGAAAAGTAAATCCTTTATAAATTATTGAGATCATATAATGACTACTACTACTTGGAAAGTGTCTTAAAATGATGATCGTTTACAAAGTTCATATCAAAAGATACACATTGGTGACTAAAATGAAAGTTTATTTTGCTTTCATACAATAATAAAGTTTTTCTTTGAAACAGATAAATGATTATTATAGACAAGAATGATAATTGAATTTTCCCAGCAAATAAATCCTTGATTGTACAAGCTTTGAGCCAATTACCAAGAGATAAATTGACTCATTATAATCCATAAACTGAAAAATAAGAGCCAACTATCAATTACGCTTCAAGTTCAAGTCATATTCAACTGTTATATGAACACATGCAATACATGATTAACTGAATCCTTCCATATTAGTTCCCTACAAATCCACATCGTAGAGTACTGATAACATCCTACTTCTTTCTTAGTTTCTACATCTGTACCAATAAATCAATCGATCAACGAAGATCATTCTTGGATAGTTCCTAATTAAAATCAGATAAATCCATTTTAATGAAGATTTTTTTCTTTTTACTAATCCAAGTGAGTATTTGGATAATCAAAGTTTTTAAAGTAGGCAAGCAAAAATCGGACAACGATACTGACAACAATAATATCAACATAATAATTGTTATGCAGAAGACGATAAATAAGTGAAAATAATGCTGCCAAAACAAACACACAAATGTCAATCATATAGAAACAAGACAAAATAACAATAGATCTGCATATTATTCAAATAAAACACATTTCTATAACAGAAAAACTATGTATATGTTGGATATAAATACTCACTGTACAAATAACATTCATTTGTGTATAATATATAAATTCTGTTTTTAGTCATTTATTTGTGAAATACAATTCATAATACTATTAGTTACTATCATCCTCATATTTGTCATCAAATGGATATGCAGGTAAGTGGTCTTAATCATGACATCACTAAACTGAAAACTAAAATGTAATCCTTTAAAAAAATGTCGATGAGTACACAACAATGTCGTAGTAACATTAATATTTTACTGTATACAAAGGATTAGTAATTAAATTAAAATGAAATACGTAAAGAACAGAGAAAGAGAGAAATTCATAAAGGATGAAAAGAGAAAAACATGTAGGACTGATAAAGTGTTAAGACCAAAACAGTATTATGAAGTACGTTAGTAGATCAATCATTTAATCACTTATGAACAATTTAGAATCTGACATATATATGAATCAATTTAAGTTACCACCCCACACCATATCAGCATAAAGAGATGAAATTAACAATAAAAATTGTAGAGTGATTGAAGTAGCAACAGTATCGGTAATAACACGAATGATCATGGTGTAAACAGTAGGATTCAAAAATAAACACTCAATTCATAGATTGCAAAGTATAAGATAATGTCAAAACTCAAAATCTAAGCGAAAGAAATGTACGAATTCATCTATGTCACGTTAGGTAGTTATTGGGCAAAAGCAATGTGTTTTAATCACCTCAATCGATGAAAATTTATCATATCATCAACTGATTCGCCATTTGTGTGCAACAGTTTGCATTTATCTTCAACATTGTTCCCTCAGTCGTCCAAGTAAACGCGAGCAATGCTTCGAAGGTATCCATGATCGAATATAAGTAACTTACGAATGTCCTTTATTTTAAAGGCCACATTTCAAAATAGGACAGAACAAACTGCTGATCAATGTACTCATCGTTTGTTTGGTAGGTCGACATTTCATTTATGCTATAGGTGACATAAGTTAGAATAGTCAATAAATTTTTCAGAATTCGTGACAAGATTTCCTCATGATATCATCACTGACTGATATGAAGTCATAAACCATATACTGAATAGCAAGGTATGACTGCAATTTTGAGATGATTGGGGTTCTAGAAAAACCAAACCCGTCTACACTCAGTACTGCAGTCAGAGAATTGGCATGTAATAATCTTAGGATAAAAGATATTGAAAAGGTCAATTCAATTTTCTTAGAAATGATTTATTTGACAAACTGATTCTGAAGATAATGTTGTGCTGTAAAATTAGGTCCTCTCTGATTATGTATTTTGTTCGCATTTCACGATTCGAATTACTAATAACTCAGTGATATTTGCTAAACCAAAATAATTTATGAACTTCATGTTTTTAAATGATGAAACCCTACAAAATTAAAATGCTACCTTCACTTTTTATCATCTTGAATACGCCTTTAAATTAACATTTATTCTGTAATTGTTTTCAGAACATAAATATATTTAATCACTTAGAAACAATAATGTCAATTTAAGTAATCAAAATACAGTTACTTACACGATGTAAACGAGTCATAAACAAGTTTGGCACATCCAGATCAGTTAGAAATAATTCGCGTCTGAAATGAACAATAAGACACAAATCAAATTCGAAACATTTTGAACAATAAAAAACATATGTAATACGTTAAAGATCTCAAAAATTACCGTTCAACTCTTAAGCTGAAGATGTAACTACTGAGTTAATAAACTACAATTCTGGACAACAACTGATATCTGTTCAATAGAAAACATGTGAAAAACGTTGAACGGATATCACTAATTCACTGTTAACTAGCAGAAAAATACTAAAAAATACAGAATGTTGAACTACTCTACTTTATAGTTGGAGCAGAGTCAACCGCTCCATTATCCGCCTTATAACACAGAGACCTATTATAATCAAGTCAATAAGGAATTTTGAATATTTATGAAACAGATTACAAAAACTAACCTTGACTCTTCATCCAAACCGGCTAACATATAGTAAAATATATGGAAATTAGGTTCCCCTTCAGGACGATCAGTGACACGACTACGTTCAAATAATAATAATCTTGTTGTCAGACCTGTTACAATTAAACTAATATCTTCCGGTTGATTAACTATTGGCAAAGAATGGATATTAGCAAATTCTAATGAGAATAAACGTAATGCTCGACTTCCATTAGTGTTGAGAATAATACGTGAACAGGTGAATGAATCAAGCATATTGAAGAGTGCACGTAAACGACATTCTACAGTTTCAAAAAAGGAAGACATACAGATGAACTATGCAAATAAGTGCATGATTGTTTATTATTACCAATATTACTTATCGCGTAAATAGTATATGTCACCATGAAACATGTAAACAAAACGGAAACAATATAGATAATTATATTCCAATGATAAACTGAAATAGGAGGTTAACCAACGTTCTTCAATGATATTTGAACGGATAAAGATAGGATTTTATAAATCACTGGCTTGCAAGATCCATGCTTGATTAATTAAATCTTATATCTCAAGCTTATTCTATCCCATTTGGTTTGAGTGAATAATGGGTTATTACAATTAACTCTATTGAAACAGTTTGCGTAATCAACTTGAATTTGTACTCATTGAATCATACTTAGGGTATAATTCGTAATTCGGGTTGTTGTATAAAAGGAATATTAATATTTGAAGTTAGTGGAGAGCGATATCCACTAGCTTGTCAAAGCGTCACTATACCATTCCAACAGTTCAAATTTTATCGCTCGGTTGATATCAAACACTGTCATAGAAATTGGAAAGTATGCGTGGTTTGTAAATATTTGATTAAAATTCTGTTAGAATCATATTTTTTTACTTGAACAAATAAATATTGGTACAGTAGGGCACCAAATATATATACGCCACACAAAACAATGAGAATGGGAGGAGAAAAAAGAAAGAAGGTAAGGAGCGTAAAAAAAAGAAGAACAATAACGACCAGGTTAGTGTAAGGCAGTGTAATAATAATAATAATAATAATAATAATAATAATAATAATAATAATAATAATAATAATAATAATAATAATAATAACAATAATAATAATAATAACAATAATAATAATAATAATAGTAATAATGAGGGAAACGGAAAGGTACAATCAGAAGAAATCTTTCAGTAAAGAAAGATACAACCACTTTTATGAAGAAAGTAAAAGAAGGTTACAGCAGGATCGCCACTGGCTTCTATTCTGAGTCATACCTGACAACGTCTCTAGCCACTGTGTCACACCATCTCTCGGACCCCGGTCAGGGAATCAAGAAGGACCAACACAAGCCAGCTCTTTAAAGCTTTCTTTCATACCACGACACCATGTCATACACTGACTACCTCTTCGCCTTTTCCAACCAGTCCCACCGTCGGCAAATAATGCACGACGTGGAATTCTCTGGGACGACATTCGGAGAACATGTCCAAGCCACCGAAGTCGGTGTTTCAAGATGATGACATCGATTGCTTTATCGTCTCTGCGCCCGAACACACGATGCCGAACCTCTGCATTACTAACATGGTGTTGCCACTGGATGTCAGCAATCGTTCGGAGACAGCGATGATCGAACACAGAGAGTCGTCTACCATCCTGAACTCGGAGAGGTCACGTTTCACAAGCATAGAGCAAAACTGCTCTCACCGACGCGTTGTAGATCCGACCTTTTACAGCCAGACTGACATAAGGAAGGCGCCAAAGATGGCCCAGATTGGCATAAGTCGCTCTGGCTTTCACTGTACGTGCATTGATCTCATCACTCACGCCACCATCAGCACTTATGCAGCTACCCAGATACACGAACTTCTCGACTACGTCTATCTACTCACCATCCACGGTGAGTACAGAATTACAATCCTGCCAGTCTTGTAGAATTACTTTGCACTTCGAAGGTGCAAAGCACATACCATAACTACGGACATTGATTGCCAACTGATTAAATGCGGATTGCATGCCTTGGGCATTATCGCACAATAAGACAATACCATCCGCATACTCAAGGTCGAGAAGTCTTTCTCCAGGCAACAGATCCACACCGCCATTACTTACATCCATCAGAGCTGTTTTCAGAATGTCATCGATGGCAAAGTTGAAGAGGAATGATGAGATTGAACAACCCTTTACAACTTCACTGCTTGAATGGAATAATGGAGAAAGGTGGTTGTATGCCCTCACTCTACCTGAGGTATTTGTGTATAGGGCCTTTAGAATGTTAATAAACTTCTCAGGCACACCCTTCTTCAATAGGCAATCTCAGAGAACAGTCCTGTTCAACGAATCGAAGGTAGCTCTAATGTCAAGAAACATTACGATTGTTGGTGTTTCATAGGTATGACGGTGTTCTAACATTTGGAGGAGGGTGAAGATATGATCAAAACATCCTCAACCGGAACGGAAATCAGCCTGCTACTCGCTAGTCAATCTTTCTCGGGTTTTGAACAACCTACGAAGTATGACGGAAGCCAATAGCTTGAACGCAATTGGAAGTAAACTTATCCTGCGATAGTTGTTACAAGAACGACGTGAACCCTTTTTAAAGATAGGGACAACTATCGACTCATTCCATGACGTTGGTACACTCTCTAGTTCCCAGACCTTTGTAAACAACACAGTCAGTTCTTTAGTCAGAAAGTCACCACCATCTTTAAAAAGAGCCGGAGGTAAGTCATCCGGGCCAGGTGATTTGTAACGCTTCAAGAGTTGGAGTTCCTTGCGAACTTACGCCTCATTTGGTGGATCAGTCGTCACCGACCATGGAGGGCAGGACAGTCTGACCGATGTTGCCGGAGCAGCAGGCCAGTTGCACTGCCCTTCGAAGAATTCTGCCCATCATCCAAGACGTCGATGGATGTTAGTGATTGGCATCCCGTCATCCTCACAGATTGTTTCGCTCACACCAGACTTCTCGCTGCCAGTGGCTTGGATGAGTTGAAAGAGCTTCCGGGAGTTAACAGATGCAGCTGCTGCTTCCAGCTCGTTAACACGCTCCGACCATCAGGTTTCTCGGTCCTTACGCAAGCTTTGCCCGATTTCATTACGTAACATCCTTGGTTTGTGGTCAAACTCGCGGTCACACGGAGTAGACCATCGGGTTTCAATGAGTTGTAAGAAGCCTGAAGAAACCCAGTGCTTATAAGGGGGACGTTTCGCGAAGCCGCAAGCGGCTTTACTCGCCATTTTCATGGAGTCATGCAATTGCAACCAATGCTCATCTATACTTTTCGATGTAATGGTTGCTAGCCTAGAAGCTAATTAGTCGCAATAGAAGTTGCAACCAACTTGCTGACATCAATCCTTTGGTGGCGGTCACTTCGTTGGCCATTGAAAAGTAAGGCAAGATTGGCGCAAATCAGGGCATGATCAGAGTCAAGATAGGTACTCCAAAAGGAGCGACAGTCTTGTACACAACCACGCCAGCGGTAGATGATCGTGATGTGACCATAGATCGAATGTGACAGGAAAATTGCGTGGGTAATGTCAAGGTTAGGCTCAGGTTTGTAAGCATAAGTTTTTATTAAATTAAGTGGTTGAAACATGTATAATTCTTGCGCAATACAATGGCTTACTACTGGAAGACAGTAGTGAACAGACTATCACAATCAGAATACAACCACGATTAGGTGCACGAAAATGAAACTTAACCATTAGTTGGTTTGCGAACGATGACGACTGTCATTAGCATTGTTTTAATAAGATAACCAAGTGCTATACAACCTCATCCAAGGGAAGCTTCAACCATATTCCAACTTTTATTTTATAGTAATAATGAAAATCTCTCATTATTTTTTAAAACAAAATATTCTTATTAAGATAAATGGAATGCGAATATTTTCATGTGAAACTCATCGACAAATTTTCTTGATAATACATGTTATCAAATAATGAACTGTGAAAGACAATGGCGATGGATAAATAGTGAAGTCATTTATCATATCTTGTTAGAAAGTTTGTAACGTAACCATAGTAACTACCTGACAAAAATCAATTATCAACACTTGCAAAAATTCCTCTTCCATACTTGGTTTACATATTGTATTTGTAATGGTGTAAGTTTGAACACCTCCTGCTTACATGTTTGTTTGCTTTTTGAGAAAAAAAGACATTAAATTTGAACAGCATGAAGAAATCAAAGCAAACAAACAAATTATCTCTAATTTCACGCGGTATCATCACAGTAAAAACATGTATAATAATAAGGAAAAGACAAATTATTTACCATTGATTTTACTTGATATGATGCTGTTATTACCATTATTGTTTGAGTGATTAAAAAGATTAATCGATTTCTCAGATTGATAAATCATGTAAGTGAATACATCATTAGAGATGTGTGTTTTACCAGAACCAGAACGACCCAACAAGCATAAAACTTGTTGACTTAAAGAACATGGTAAATGATACACTGGGTTTCCATTGACATGATTTTGTTGTTGTTCCATAGTAACTATGGTGTAGAATAAACGTCGTTTTAAACGAGCCAAAATTAATTGTGCCACAGAGTATACATGCGGTGGCATATCGTAGCGTACTTGACAGTTAGTAAATAAATCCATCACCTTTATGATAAGTCAACAAGAGAAAATTACAAGTGATAGTGTATATCATTCTCATTTGTTTTTTTTTCTAACAAAAAATTAGAAAAACCCAAGTTTTATAGTTTGACACCAAGTTTTGCTTTATTTGTGACAAAACTTGTTCATGAAAATATATTATTATTATTATTATTATATGAATTAGAACCGGTAAGTATTACTACTCATAGATAGTTTCTAGTATGACACATTCGACTAGCTAAGGTTCATTCTGAAAGTAACTACAGTAAAATGTTTGTCCAGTACAATATTATCAACGAAAGAATAGTAATGATTAATTTGCTAAGTGGTTTTCTAATAATTTCTACAGTAACTCAACTAAAAATAAAATTGTAACTTTTAAAGTATCATTAATAATGAAGAGATGAATTATACCTATTATTGATATTCAAAACTGGATTATGATAGATCTTTGTTAGCGTATTTCTGTCCTGTGCCGATTGTTAAAGTGTAGACATTTCATCACACTGTTTATAATATAGATGGATTATCACTAGCAATGGAATCTAAGATGTGTATTTCATTCTATTCGGGAATCACCAACTAAGTGTTCTTACACCAGTGTTGATGTTCACACTGAGACTCGAACCTAAAATCTCTCTCTTCAAACGCCAATGCGTAATCCATTGAGTCAATCAGTTCAGATTGATATTAACTTGCTCAACAGGCACCAAATTTACATTATTGTTAGTAAAGTTCTAAATTTTGTCGTTGTTGATAAGCAGGACTGAATTTTGATTATGCTGAATCGACTGATGAAAGCACATTCAGACATCAAATCCCATACGAGATGAAACGCACGTCTTGAATTGTACTGCTAGCGAAACTCTAGTTGTTCTTTAAAATTATTTTTTTCACACATATTTGCGGAGCCAGTTAATAACAACATAATTTATATATTCTCCTGTTTTAGATTACATAACACTTGCTTCATATCTTAAATGGATATTATTAAACAGCTAGTCAACTGTTATTCAATAACATTTGAAATACAACTGTGAAATAAGGATCCATGTGGAATAAGATTAGATTTCTGTAACAATAAAGAAATTCTCCTTGGCTGGACGATCAGTACTGTTTTGTATCAGTAAAGAATTTTTTAACAATCTATACCCACAACCTTGAGGGGAATCAAACCCGTCATCTTCCGATTTCCCGGCAAGTGAGCTAATTTCAGACTACCAAGTTGATTTCCAACGGTTCACATTAGTAAATTCAATTAGTCAAAAGAGTATATCAATGTACTGTCAACATTTTCAGTGTATGAAGGTCATTAGGAAACTTGTTCTAAATGTCTAAATTGAACGTTTTTGTAGTAACCAGAAAAGATTAAATATTCAGGATGATGAACACATCAAGTTACAGTATGAACCAATTTTGAATGTAGTCGTTGCAGTCATTATCCCGCAAACTACAGTTTACAACATTAATACATGTTATAAACTCATTGTAACCGACTTACAATTTCGTTCTCTTGATGATAACAAAAAACAATTATATTATTGTAAACAGAAAAAAATTATATGACTAATAATCTAGGTACTTTCAAACAGAATGGAACTAATATAAGTTATCCTACTGTTCGTCTTAAGTGAAATGAATAACAAGCATATATTAAGTTTAATCATTCGAGGAAGAAGTATCTCACAACTTGGTAAATAAATTACAATAGATCATGAAACGAGAAGAGAGGACACAATAGTTGTTTTCAATGAAACACAGTTTATAATCATTCAAGCTAAAAATATCCTGTGAACTAAATGTAATTCAATAGTTCTTTACCTACCTTAATTTTACCACAAAATATTTATGAACTCATATTACTATTACTATGACAGTTCTTATTGAAGTTGGGTAGTCGCCTGCAGTGGAATGCAGGACGCGTGTTTCATCCCATCTGGAACTCGTTAATTGGATGTACCTGCATCCTAGTGTTAGCGTTCACGTTACACAAAACTTGACAAGTATTGCTGGGGATGTTTTCCAGCAAAAACTATTGAAAACATAGCAAACATGAAATTCAATCATTATTATTACCATTATTAAAAAATCTTTTATCGCAGTGCTACCTATGTCCGCTGTTTTGATAGATTAAAAATCATATATATATATATATATATATATATATATATATATATATATATATATATATATACAGGGAAAGAGTAAGAGACCTGAAAGAATTATACTTTTTAAAGAATTATGGAACTCACTTTATCTGAATAAATATTCAAAGGCATCATTGGATTAATACTGATTAGATTGATGCCTGAAGCATAAGTGAATATTAGACCAGATCCATATCGTTGAATAAATGAATGTGTTACACTGGATTCATTAATATAACGCAATTTAATTAAATCATCAACACGATCGAAACGAGGCGGATTCGCCTACATTAATGTTTTTTTGTTATTGAATCAAAAGGGAGAAAAAACATCGAAATGGATTTTTTAAAGGAGGAAAAAGTTAAAAATTGTTTTGTTTGTTTTCAACTAATCCTTACACTGATCTTATTAGATAGATAAGTGGTAATTAATATAAATCAAGTGACTCAATCATTCATAAACAATGTAGAACTTGATATGTATAACAATAAATTCAAATTATCGACAACAAACAAAATAAGTTTAACAATATGAAATTATCAGGACAAATTCCAGAGTAGTGGGAATATTACCAATATTAGTAGTAGTACGAAAAATTAGGTATAAACAGCAGGATTCAACGAAAAGACAATCAATTCGTGAAATTAAAAGTACAAGATAATATCGAAACTCAAGATTTAAAGGAAGGCAAATAATGAATGTATCTGTGTCACTGTGACCGATTTCAATTCATCTCATCCAAAGTCTTCAACCACTGATCATGATAACCATGAAGACCGCAACCGAATAGTCTGGACCTATTACTAAAGCTTACCACTCAATGACTATGGATTGATGCCATGTCTTGGGATTTGGTAGTTCTTAATTTTCGACAAACATACTCCTACAAGTATAGCATAGAACGCGGTGGTTATGGATACAAAATACATTTCTCAATAACCTCAATCAGTGAACATTCATTACCGCATCAATCGGTTCGACATCTTCGCTAGTACTTGATGTCTAGCTTTAGAATTGCTCACTTGATGGTTCCAGAATGACATAAAGTAAAAGAAATAAATGTCTTTATTAACCGCAACACAATAATCTATACAAATGTAACAAGGACAACTAGATTCATTTAAGACAGAATTCATTAGACAATAATTACGATAAATTGAAATGGGGTAAATAAAGCAAGAACAAATATTGATGCAGAATAGTATGAGTTCATAATATTTCGAGGTTTCTCGTCAGCTACCTACAACCAAATATGTAATAGAATTTTACATTGAGATAAGAAATAGTGTGAAACAATTGACATAAATGAATGTAAATGATTGGAATGACAAAGGTTTACAATAATAACTATATATATATATATATATATATATATATATATATGTATATATATTCCGCATCAATATTTGTTCTTGCCTTGTTTAAATTCATAAAGGGAACTAATTGCATGGAATTTTTGAAATGAGGAAATTTGTAAAAGTTAGAGAATAGGTGGTTCATAAATTAACTTCTGTGAATAAATATTTAATAAATACCTATTGATTATTTAACTGTAGTACCTGAATAGTGGTCAGTGTAAATGTTGTTTGTTTAATTATATGAGTCTTTCATATTGTTTTCATATCAGATAGATTAGAGATGACATGTGTTCAGTAGGTGGTTTTTTCAACGTAGTATTCCTGTGACGGAAAATGTTGATTTCTGTCGGTCTGTCTGACAGTCAAAAAAAGGAAAGTTTGATATTTTTATAAAAATCATTCCATAATTTTAAATAAAACTGAATTTTACTTGTTAATTGAGCAGTAAAAGTTGTCTAAACTGACTAACAATCGACTTGACCAGAATAGATGTAAAGCAGTAATGAATAAATACCTACTATTAATCTAATTAACTTGCTTAAACAACTCGCATTAATAGTATAAATAATTATTTTTAATTAAAAAAAACTTGGGAATATTAAAGAAACAAGTAAACGTTGAAGGAGTTAAATGATAAAATTCAATTTATGTGATACATAATATACATTGTTATGAGATCTTACACGTTCAACATCTTCAGGATTCACTTCAATTACTTCTTGTCCTGGTAGAATGATCACACGACATCGTCCATTTGGTAGTGAACTAAGAAATTTTCCAGAAACATATCCTTGTTTAAATGTAATCCAAACTGGGAAATCTGTTTGATTATTATCTTCGTCATATACAGATTGCACACATTCATTATTATTATTAGGTTTCCGTTTTATGGTATGTACAGCATCAAAAGATGAGTTCTCAAGTGTATCTGGTTTTATCTGTAATCAGACATTAGAATTAACTAAATTACTGGTCAGTTCATTGAATGTTAACTTTTACATGATGATAAAAAAAGATTAGTTTATTTCAAGCCTATCAAGAAAATATCCAAGCAGTAACAATTTACTCTGATTTCAACTCCACATAATGTGAAAATTACAAAACAGCTAAATCATAAATTGTTACAACACTAGAAGAAGCTCTAATTAGCTTGCCAGACAAAAAGTTGGGGTTATTTAGATTTACATTGCTGAGATTATTTCAAACATAATTTTTACAAATAATGTCTTCAATATATTCTGTTGGATTTTATCAAATTGTTCACTTGGATTATAACAAATGTCCGCATGAATATAAGAATAATGTTTCAATTTATGAACAGCCTGAATATATTTACATACTCATAAGGATACTATTCATTCAGAAAGTAGAATTTAGGTAATTTCAGACAGTAGAATTGATGACCAGAATATTTTTATCTTCAGGTAGTTAATGCTTTAATTCTTTGAAAAAATGTGTATCTATTGTGGAATAATTAATTCTAATGAATATTTGCTGTTTCATTATTGTTTACTACAATATCATAAACAAAAATTTGGTGCTTTTTTTATCTAAGCAATACACGAGTACCTATTCAAATTTATTTAATGGCTAGAAACAAGTCAGGTCTATGATATATAACAAACGGAAATTTTGGAAGTTACAACATTATTGATTATTCTGAACAGCTTTACTGAGATCATGTAGAATAAGCATTTTACATGGTTAATTAAGATAATTATTATGAAATCTGTGATAGTGGTTATTTCATGTAAAAAATTGAAGACATTTATTAAAATAAACTGTAAATACATGCAGAAGAGTCGGTAAAACTGTTTAACGGAAATATTATTTAACTCAATGAACTGAAAGTAAAAACATAAATCAACACTTTTTAGAAATCGAAATGGTCTCATTTTTGTAAGGATTTGCACTTAAAAATTAACACCGGGATGCAAGTACACCCAACTGACGAGTCTCAAATAGGATAAAACGCGAGACTTAGATTTCGCCGCTAGTCACAACACAAAATTAGCACAAATCAGTACCAGTTTTAAAAATAAATAAACAATTATTCAGTCGATGAAAAACCGAATCAAAGCCATGTACTCTCAATTATTATAATTTTAGAAGAGCTTTGTTCAATGGTGATTTCAAAGTTAATTTATACTGTTCATAAGATTGTATAACTTAAAAAAAAAGTATTATTCAATAAAAACAATGACGCCACTAACCACCAGTCAAATACCATAATACTACATCCATTGGACCATACACATACATTCACATAAGAAGTAAATCAATGTTGTTATATCATTCATTACTATTCAAAACCACTATGCTGTATCTAGTTAAATAACTGAGAATCCAGTATCGAAACTCTTTCCCGCTATAAGATTAATTCGATACCACTATTTTTAGTATGAATCCATATTACTCGAATAATCATAAGGTTATATCTCATTTATGAAAACATTAATTAGGATCATTATTAAAACAAAACAAAAAACGTATACTTATATCATACTGTAATATGGTAACTTAATATTGTAAAAAAAATGATAAAATAAATGGGTATTTATTTAGTTATCTGATAAATGAATTATAGTCATTCCATGATTTGCTTTAATATTTTGTTTATAAATGATGGATAAAAATAAACTATTATTATAATGTATTGAGAATGAATGATTATATCTCGTGATTTCTAATTATACTTACGAATCAACACTTAAAACGGTAAATAAATTATTTATTGGCTTGCCTTAATACAATATTTTATCAAATCAATTATTCCTTTAAAATACTTGTGAATTTCATATTTTTGTAAATGAAAATTTACAGAATACTTCATATCATCAATACATGTATAGAGATAGTGAAAGAGAGAGAAAAACAACAACAACAACAACAAAATAAGAGATGTGAGTAATCATCTAGTAAGTTTTCTCAAGCCAACAAAGAGATAAGGATTTTACAGATTTCTGTTGTATAAATAAACTAGAATTATACGCTCAAATTCCTATGATTTATTGATATGTAAAAGGCGAGATTGAAATTTGTTGGAAAACTGTAAATGGTATACGGTAGATCACTTGAAATGATTTGGGTCTATCTACCGTTTTTTAGAGAGTTAGTTTTCTACGGGATGGGGTCGCTAACCCCATGCTCAACCCTTCTCCTTTATCCGGGCTTGGGACCGGCAGTAGCCCCCGGAGGGACTCCAGGCGAAGTTCGGATCTATCTACCACATGATATAATTTTAAAAATAATTCATAACTAAGTTTTCAAAAATAATAAACGATAACATTGTGAAACATATCATAACTATAATTAATTGACTTAACTTTGTAGTAAAAATGAAAACATCAGCATCAACAGTCATGCATATCCGGAGCTACATGACAGTGTTTGCATTGAAATGAAAAACAATCTAATCTCCTGAATGATAGATAACTGAAAACTATCCGTGTTATAGAGTATTCAATGTATAGGCACATGTAAATAAAATAATCATGATGGAACACTTAATATATCACCATGTTATAAGTTTGTTACAGAAAAAAAAACCATGAAATGAAAACACGTATTAATAATACTCATTTATTATATGCGTTTGAGAGTAACTTTTTATTATATACTTTAAAATTTAGAAACCCTACACATGGATGATCTTGACAATATGTTTCATTAAAAAGTCAATTTATTGTAAAAAAAAAACTGCCTTTTTTGTCTAACCAAAACGTTTATGTACTTAACCTAATCAAACTTTATTTTCTTCAACTGTATAGTATTGATTCCATTTACAATGTGGATTGTCTATAGATAAACTATTTTATGATCTACAAATGATTGAGCATTGAATAATAATCAATATTACGTTTGTCTAGTTATCTACTGGTGATGATTAAGTTCAGTCGATCAAGTTTTAATATAGCCACTAATCTACGAAAGTGGACATAGTGTGCACTATTTTGAAATGTAAAATGGTGGAAAGTGATCGATAAGAAACCAAGTTTCACGCTAGTCGGAACTAGTTAACAAAGCATTCATTTCATCTTAAGGGAACTCGTGTTTCCTGGAGAATTTGCTACTGTATCATCCAGCTTCAAAATTTGAGACGTCACTACATTGAGCTATTCAGACCACCACTGACCTCCCGTGTGACTGAGATATTTACAATTTGATCAATGAGTATTGACCAATGTTATGTTTGTCCTTTATGGTTATTACAGGAAGTGTAATAAACATTAGTTCGGTAGCCACAATGCAAATAAACTGTTATGTGGCAATTTTCGATAATAAGACTAATCATTCACTTAATCGATCGTTTAGCTAAGAAAAAATGTATAAGAAAACTTTTAAACTTGAAATTTTATGGTCAGAAAAAGAATACTCATTGTGAATGTAAATTTATCCCGAAACAAACTTAATTAATAACAATAGTAATAGTGAAAATTACCGCAGAGTTCATGATAGTGATACGCTGTAGAGTTATCCAAGCATTGACAAATAATGAATAAAAAGAACACTTCACTCTAATAGTTTACAATAAATAAAATTTCCGTAATCAAGGCTCAGTTGTTCTCATTGTAAATTTCACATCATCATATCAATGGTTAGGCGACCATATATATATATATATATATATATATATATATATATATATATATATATATATATATATATATATATATATATATATATATATATATATATATATATATATCAGCAAATTCTTTAATAGAACAGTTGATTGATGTTTGCATGCGTATGTGTAATGTGACATTTATGGATGGAATTCACTCTACAAAAATCAACTCACTCATCTACTTGTGTTATCACCATACTCAGGTGAACAAACTTTCAATCACATTTCAATTGTTCACTACAGTAGAATATTGTAATTATTGGAAGAAATATGACAAGAAATTTTTTGTTTCATATTATTTTAAAAAGAGAAACAACAAAAGTGTAGACATTTTAATGTATATACAAGTATGTACAAATGTATTTACGAATATACATAATTTTCTAAGGCAAACAACAATACATGGCAGAAAATGACATCATTACACATAATTTTCATTTGTATTAGAAAATATATTTATAGCACATCACCGTATGTACGGATGAATGTGGGTAAAAGAAAACATTCTCTCTCAGATTCACACAATGCTTTGATATATATAGCATTTTGGAGAGATTATATTCTGTGAGCTGAATGGTTTGGTTACAAAGCTTTCACTGTCTTTCCCGACATCAATAGTATATACTTCACAAAAAATTGAGCTATTGGAATTCCCACAACATTGGAAAACAGCTTGTTCTTTTGACCTGTAGTTCGGTTGATTTTTGTCTATAATTGTGTGATCGTTGGATTCGTGTTTACTCTAATTGTGTTCACCGATAATCTGACCTCTGACCTTGCAGTTATTGACTAGTAGACTGAGTTTATTTCGATACATTAATTGATTAACGCGTCACCGGAATGTTAGGCTTCTCAAGATTCTCTAACTTTCTTTGTGTTTCCTCTGTCCAATATTTCGACAATTTTGCAGCGGAACTCATGTCAATAGTTGCACACATTTATTGATACAAGTAAATTCATGTGATAACGTTTAAGAAGTAGCTGGTGACCACGCAGACGCAGACAGAGAAAATGGCGACTTTGCTCTATACATTGTTTGTTCAGTTGTTGCAACTTCTGTAAAACGAAGTCTATATTTCATTGATGAGTGAGTGATACACAAAAGTTTTATTTTACAATTGTTTATCTGATAAATGATATCTAATTATGCTTATTTTTTATTATAATATTTTGTACTCGAACATGTTTGTTTGAATCGACAATAAACCTATTCTGATATCGATTCCTTCGACGATTTGCATCAACAACTCAGAAGCGTGATTGATTGTTAGCCAGCTACCCAGCCACATTGTATCATTATGTATTACTTACTGGTCAACATAATTTTTTCAACCCTAACACTTCCACGACATGCGTATTCTACTAATAAATTATCCCACATAACATAAATCGAAGGGGATTTCCCCTAGCAAAAATACCATTATGTACACAACGTAAACACAAACATTCACTTTATTTATGATAGTTTTGACATATTGCTATTCAAAATTGTGAAGTATGATTTATTAACTCATTTGTGATTTACATCTAACTCCATCTGTAGCTCATCTAGGGTTACTGCCAATCCCGATTCCGGGTAAAGGAGGGGGGGTGAGCTTGGGGTAAGTAACCACCTCCCATTGAAAACAACCTTGCTAAATATAAGCTTACCGGAAAAAAATTAAACCATCTGAACTCTGACCTGGAAGTTGGAAGATATTCATTCAGAAGAATTACGACGTCTCATGATGAAAGCCGAGATTCGTTGGAAGTTAAGAGACCGATGCCCCTTCCAACAACCACAGAAACAATTAATACAAGTACATGGAATGTTTAGAAAATATGGGAGACCTGAAAGACCAGCCGAATAGCTGAGGAATAAGTGAAACACATTGAACCCAAGCTGAACAGAAAAAGATAGATTCTGCAGAGATGCTGCTGTATGCTGATCACGAAGAAGAAAATGCTAAGCACACTCAGGGAGATGCTCTGACGCTGTTCAAAGAAGTACGTAAAGCACTTATAGGATGGGAATCTCATGAACTCAGGATCATCAAAGCATCCTTCAAAACAGAGGAGAAGAGAATTACAGTGAATATTATCCAGTGTTATGCACCCACCAATGACAGCAACGACGACGATAAAGATCAGATCTGAACATCCTGATGGGAGACCTAAATGACAATGTCCTGAATGGAAAAGAGACACAGGAAGACCAAGTGACACACTGCGTCGGGAATCGGAAGCACACATCAAAAGAATACATAGCAACTGAGAAGGATTGTCCAAGATGGAGACTTCTGGTGCACGGCCTATGCTGCTCCACGAGAGGTAACAGGCGTAAGTAAGTTTACATCTAGTTATTCAAACACTAGGCTATTAAATGATGAGAAGAGGTTACTTCGTTGTCCCTTGTAATTTAAAATACCAAAATCCGACATTGAATTTTGTATAACAATAGTTTAATGGTTGAAGCAATGAATTTTTAACACGTAAGTTGTGCGCTTGAACTCCCAGTTTGATATGGACAACTGAATAATATTATTAAGCATGGTACCAAACAAGTGTGCTTCAAAACTATTTATAAATATTACCCAGCTGCCTAAATTGAAGTAAGTGAAATGAGGTTTCAAAATAAGACCTATTGGTTGAAAACCGAGTGTTTTAACCAATAAAACATCTCTCTATATTTGAATAAAGATCCGAAGTTTAACCAATTTATTAAAACAAATTCCTGAAAACCTTAATTTTTCAAATCCAATAGTGACTAGAATCCCATAATGAACACTAATTGATAACAGAATGCCAGATGACGTCATACTGTCCAGTCCATGGAGCTTATCAAATTCTATCGATCAAGTTGTAATTTGATTACTGACATAGAGGACTCAACATGAGGGTACACTATGCTTAGCTCCTATGAACTTAGGTTTGATGCTAGTTACTAACCATCAGTAAGATCCACCTGGAATTCTGAGGTAAAAGACTCTCCACACAAAATTCGATCCCTATAATCCATTGTGATAATCACATAGATGTCTACTACTCAGTGATCAAATAGTGTAAACGTATAGTGAAAGCCACAGTGGATTATGCTCATTTCGGCTATCTTTTGTATCATGATTATGTCAGTCTAGATGTAAAAAGTTAGGTCTACAATGTATCAGGTAAAGCCGTTTTACTCAATGCTTGTGAAACCTGGTCTCTCTGAATTGACTTACCGGGTTTGATCACTATTGTTTCCAGAGGATAGTTGACATGATGTACCAAAACCATGTTAGTTCCGTCTCTACTGTTAACTGAAGTGCCTTTCTTATCATATGCTGTTCTTATTGTTTTATAAACTTATTTTTTCCTCCTTAAATGTACTGCCTCTTCCTTACAATGTTATATATATTCTATCTGGCACATCCCATTTTCCCGGTGTCTTGTTGTAACAGATTTTATGTGCTTAACTGAAATAGGATAAATAAACTAAATGCAACCGAAAAAGACAGGATGAATGTAAGAATTCATGAAGGCAACAAAAGTTACAAAGACTACCAACTACTAAAAAGGCAATCAGAACGGATTGATATAACTATTATGAAATAATCAGAAAGTGAAATTCTATATGAATTAAGCGTTGATGATGTTGCTCAAAACCACAACGAAAATTCCATAAACAACTATCTAGCTCAGAGAAGATATCACGAAAAGCAATAATTTGAGCTGAAAATGTTCCCTACCATTTTAAGACGGATTTATTGTGTTTGAAAAGACGGCCAATATTTTTTTTCTAGTTATACAATTATCATTGTGAAAATATCAGTTGAAGTATGAGCTGACTTGTAACTAATGAAAATAAGTGCGAACAACCTAACTTCAAAACAATGATTGGCACGATTTTGCTCCATTTCGTATAACACTACTTAAAAAATGTCTAAGTAGTATACATTGTAACACTTTATTTTAAAAGGCAGTGCGTCAAAGCGTCAAAGCACTAAGAAAATCTAGTTTCCAGTGCACAGGCGGAAAATGAAATGAAAAATTGCGCCAACAAAACACGAAATTAAATTTATTAATCCTGACTGCTATCTATAAAGATATCCGTTTCAAGAAGAATCCCCTAAATATATTATAAATCGGAACACTACAAAAATTACCAAATGAATCATATATAAATTGATTTTGCAACAATGTGAATGATAGATGCTACACACTTTTTTAGCCTTATATCTGAATCCAGTTAAACCATATGATGATTGTTATCTAAATATACATGACCCAATCCTCGTATATAATTGTGGACTAGATTCACGTTACAGAATAACGGGATAAAATAAGCCAGATACGAGAATGGATTTTGAATACGTATATTTCATACACTCGTTGATTCCGATAGACGATTAAAGAAACGATGCAAAGAGAAGAGAGCAAAGCGAATAAGATAATGAGGCTGGAAAAATGGAAAACGAAGCAATGCGGAGAAGTCGAGTGAGCCAACTGGGTTTAATCAAGCGTAACTCAATATTTATAGTCAGGCAAAAATAAGTTACAGACACGTTATGAATATATATATAACTGTCGTTAATGAGCAAATAATGTGGCTTGTGAAGAGTGAATAAATAAGTCTATCCAGAAGCTAGAATAATCTATGGAGGTTTGATATAGTACCATCCACTACAACGTTGTTGCACTTTGTGGATTGGATGGTTCGATCACTGAACTTTTGTTGTCATTCTATATATTATCAGTTCAGGGAAAATTACAACCATAAAGTTATCTTGTTCATAAACTGAACGTACTCTAGTAACACAATCGAGTGAGATTAAATGTCTAAAGACGTGTTTGGTTAGAGAAGTTGAAAATATAGGATGTTTCATTGAAATCTGTTCAATTGCTTACTAAAAATCCATAAGACCTGAGGTCATCTTTTTCTTATTTCTGAAAATGAGTATAAAAAAATTCATGTTCATGTGTTCATATCACAGATACAGAAAAAATAATTTTAATAGGATTAAGCACCTACTTTTTGTAAATATAGATATAAGTTTTTGAAGCTTCCGTACTTAACAGCGTAGCCTCGAACAGAAACCGGAGTTATGTGATAAAAATTGTCTTGTCCATATTCTTGTTCGGTTTTTAAATGCTCAAGTCCAGGCTGGGGAGTAAGCACTAGGCGATAGAAGAAATCCGTAAATTCAGGAAGAGACTGTACAGTCAAAGACAGATAAAGGTCAGTGGAGCGGATCAATTGTAAAACTTCATTGCGAGAAATTGATCCAACAGGCTTGTCCCCAACAGCTACAAGATAATCACCCGGAAGTAAGCCACAGGAAAGATTCTGCACGCCATAATCTGTCAGAAGGACCTACAAACAAACGTCAAATGCAACTTTTAGAAAACACTAAGTGAGGACTAATAATAAAATAGCAATCCATCTAGGGTCTTTATCAATCAGAATATTCACAAAATCTTATTATTTACTTTACTAAGTACTTATGAAGACACTAAATACCAGTTTAAACAGTATAGGCAGGTGAAAACGTCCTAGTTGAGTCCGAGAGACAAGTATGATTAGTGGTTTTAAAACTTAACTGACAAGAATAAAAATCCTTCTGACCAAAAAGATTTGTCAACTCTGTATCTCCTCCTTAATCCCTAACCTTAATATCATCCTAAAATGTATATATCTTCATTTCATTCTTCCTCTCCAAGTATCACAAACTATACCACTGTGGTGTATGCTACTTAGGTCTGCCGATATAAGTAGTATGTAACACCACTATGTAGTGGAAACCCTACCCGCAGAAGAGTATGAAGGTTGACTTGAAGAAATCAGAAACGGAATTAGAAAGGTATTGTGAATCAGGAGAATCATACAGAATGTGAAGGACGAATGATGACATTTGCAAATGGAGTATTTCATATATGGTTCTTATAACTTACTAAGAGATTCTGTAATTTTGTATTATAATATAGTTGGTTGTCTACTACCTATGTTCTGGTTTACTGCACCTCAACTTTTCTTTGCTACTGATCTTTATCAGATTTTATAAATGTGCTTATATAGCTAATTAATAAGTTATGACTGACTAATATATAAAAGCACTAAAAATCACTGAGCAGAGATAACTTTTGAATAACCTGAAGAACTAAATACTTCCTAAGAACTAATATGAAACAAGTTTCGGTAAGAGTATCAAGGACACCTTTCTTTCCATGCACAAATAAGCATATGAACAAATACCTTCTATCAAGAGTTTTATGGAGTAAATTTGTTTGTTTTCCCGTCATATGATACGTCTTAATACCAGATATGAGTAATTAACTAAATTCCTATTTCCCCACCAATTTTTCTCGGTAAGTAATAATTTAGTATATCATACTGAAAAAATCTGGCAACCACAAACAACATTCAAACAAACTTTTTTAGCGAATGAAGTAAGTGACTTTAACACAAGCAATTATCTGCAAATTAAACAAAACACTTCACAAAATAATTAGAGAAAGTAATGTTGACCTTTAGCTTTTGGTCAAAGACAATATCAGCGGTATTTATTGCCTAAGCTGTATTGCGAAGACTAAAACAGAAAAATGTTGCAGTACTATCAAAAGCTATCTATAACACTGTTTCTCACGTTGCACTTGATAAATAATATTTGGCAAAACTTTATAATTATCAAGTCGGATAGTGGTACATAGCCCAAACAAAAATGCCGAAAGAAGCAAAATGGTAGAATTCACTAATAACTAGTTATCCCGGGTCTTAAAATGCATGTGGTTGATTGCTTCTGATCTCCAGTTTGTTGGAGCAACACTTTGAATATCCAAACATTTCTTGTATATATCTCATTGATTTTTAGAATAAAAACATCTCAAACACAGCTAAAACAATAGATTTCAAAACAAGGTTGTTTTATTTTATGGTTTTGCATAAGCTAAAACTGTTCACAACTGCAGTTATTATTATGACTATTAAAAAAACAAATAATATACTTTGGTTGTCCAGATCAAAGGAAAAGTAAAGAGCAAATAGAACACCATGGGTTAGAAAAAACAGTTAAACCATGATACGGTGAACGTCAAGTTAGCGAACAAAGAACGGTGTTTGGGGTTGAATATTACAGTATTTTAACTTTTGAATCGCACGGTACAAATTTCAATATTTTTATAATCGTGACTTCAAAAAAAACGGCGAGACACTAATTTATGGACGAGCCAATCAGAAGTTATTTGAATAGACTTTCTTTATCGAAAGGACTTATGTCATGAACCCTAAAGTTAAACTCTAAAAAAGCCAGTAGTCATTTGCTAAGTATGAACACAATCACTCAAACTTTATATCATTTAGTTCCCCATGACACATTAAAAAAACTGAAACTGCAAACTAAAGAAACTTGAGATAATGTTATGGACTAAATCAAGTACCCTAGTATTCAAACTTTTGTACCGGAAACAAATTCCTGACTAATTAATACACTTAAACCACTCCACCGTAACCCACTAGTAAATATTAAAAGCCTTCAGATGATCTACAGTTTATACGAAAGCTTTATGTTGTACAGCAGACAAACCATGGTTTATCTGACTGTGGTCAGATGAAACACGGTATATAAGTCAGTCTAACATCAATAATGCTGTGTATGGTATAATAATCAACATCAAAAACATTATGCTACAGAGCATTGTTCGACTAGAAGTCTGAAAATAAGTACTAATTGGTTTGATACTTACTTCAGAACGGTTCTCTAGAATAAATCCATCATCCGTTAAGTGGAAACGGTTGACCAATAGACCACGGCGTATAAAAATACCGTAGCTTGAATCAGCATGCTTTTTCAACTGTACCTTGAAGTGGGGTAGCTCAGCATGACTGAAGTTCCATTTGACGTGATTCGCAACTACGGTATCTGGAGAGTTACTGGACAAAATAGAATTTCTGTAGTCTGGCAGGCAAATGCAAACTTCTTCATAATACTTAACAGGTTTTCCACTCACATGCAAACCGGATGCAGGATTTTTACCTAAACCGTAAATCTAACAGTAAAAGAATTACCAAATATCGCTTGATGAAGTCTTGCAACTTTAACTGCAGGGTCACACCTTGACTCATTCATATCTTTATAAACCAATTGTTTATGTAATAAATCCACACCATTTACTCAAGATAATTCAGTACCGACCCTACATATCCACAAACAAAGATTTCAAGAAAGTGCTCTAAACTAACCTAACTATTAATCCCACGTTCATGCATATAAAGTACACACAATTCAAACTTGAAATATCGTGAAAGACAAAAGAAATGTTGTAGTTCTTGAAAGCTTGTCTTGATTGTAAAAGTGTTTTTGTATACAGAAAAATGTAATTTTTGTTTAATCACTCTGACTTTGAAGAATAAAATATTAGTTGATAATAGCATTGGTCGAGTAACGACACTTTAAACTTCTAACTTCGCTAGATATATATGGAGAACATTTTTCCCCAGGATCTCCATTCGAGCAGTGCGAGAGTGCTTCTGATTTCGAGAAAGTATGTATGGGCACAACAGCGCCTTTCAGTTACAAAATAGCTTAAAGTTAAATAGCGAACACTGGCAGATAGCTGTAAAAAGGAAGAAACTAAGTTCGCGCATTGCTTCAAAACTCTAGGTAAGATGCCATCTGGAAGAGTAGTCCCTCCCAAAATTAAGAAATATCAGGTTTTCATTCGGAGGGATCTGCAGATGGCCATGGCACTACCTATCCCTAAAAAGAAATCTATTGTTTCCTGGCCTTAATCATCAAAATACTCGCCTGCACCTACGAGTCAACTCTTCCGTGTCCAACCTTCAAGTAGTGTCTTCCTAGTTGCGATCCGGGACCTAAACGTATTAGCACACTGTAAAAGTGATGAATACTTAAGGGGAGGCGCATCACTTTGATGATATTACACCCTGTGCTTTTCTATAGCGCAGGCTTCGAGTTCGATGCTTCTTAATGACATGAGTATCTTTGGATCGTATTTACTGAGGACGTTTTAATACAACGGTATACATCTCCCTAAAGAAGACAAGACTTTAAGTAAATATCCGTAATAAACAGCTTCTCGGGTAGTACATATGGATTGTGGCAAGCCCATTTGGCCACTGTATCATCTGTCTATTCATTGTAACTTAGACTCTTAATTCACTATGTTAATTTCGGTGTGTATGATCGAATGCATGTCTGTACATTAACTCTTAAGCTATCCTCCTATTGGTTTCAATGTGCAGATAATCGATAATTTATCCACACCCGATTAACTCGCAAAAATATATATGGG